ACCCCCCCCCCCCCCGCGAAAGAGAGGTTGGTTCCGCCTCTGGATTGGCCTAAAGATCGTCAAATTTCTTACAGGTGAGTCAATTATATGTGAGTTTTATTTACATTGATCATACTAGTAATTTGTAATATTAAAATGTTTTTAAAGAGGTAAATAATTTTTTTCATACAAATATGATAGCTTATTCTTTTATTTTAGAATTATATAAATTAATTTAATGATCGAAATTTTGATTCATGAACTTTATTATTTTTGTGACATCATTAAAATAAGATAGTCAATATATTCACCAAATAACTATCTCATTTCATTGAAACCAAAATATCTAATATCTATGCATGTTTGGGACTTGAACTATTTAAACTACTTTAAACTAGATGAAACAAACTAGCTAGTTCACCAAATAAGATTGTTCCATTTTCCATAAAGTGGTATTAAAATATCAATCAGCTCTCAACGAAAAGATGAGAAGTGCTTTCACCATGCATGATCCAAAAAAATGCAAGTAGATTGAACATGAATATTCCGCTTGATATTATCAGTAGTTTTATGGCCTCTAGGCACAAACCATAATAAGTTAGGAATAGTAAGAAAATCGTAAGATGAACTTATTATGCCATATATTTTTATGCCACAAAATAGGGGTTTGATCTTCATGTAAATCATATTAAATTGATTTGAATAAGTGGAAACAAGACTTTTTATAATACAAAGCATTACTAGATTAATCCTATACAATATATGTCAATATGAGTAATAACATTTCTATTAACATTCATTTAAAATTCAATTTATATGGTGCGACTTTGAGCTCTATATTTTTGGCCAAAATAAATCGGGTGCTACAACACTATTTTTTCGCTACGGCAAGCAGGTTCGAGCTTTGAGGCCCCAGGCCCAAATTTAGATTAAAAATATCTATTTCTGCAAATTTCAATCCCATTTCGATATGTAGGCAACTAGCTAGAGAGAGAGAGGAGGAGGATTCTAGAGAGAGAAAGCTAGGGTTTGGGCATGTCTAATTCATTTTATGTTGTCAAGATCATATTTAAGGCAACTGACTAGACTGACTAGAGAGAGAGAGAGAGGAGGATTCTAGATAGAGAAAGCTAGGGTTTGGATATATATGATCCACTTTCTATTGTTTGCCTAGTTATGAAAGTTGTAAGGCTTGAGGAGGCTTATATAATGACCTGAAATTTTATGTAACTAATTTCAAAATAAAAATCTAAAATTTTGAACTTGAGCGTTGTGGTGTTGTGCTTTTGGGCACAACAGTTTTGGGGAGCTAAATTTCGACACTGTGGTAATGAGCTCTCTTTTCTATAATAACTTTAGATTGAGCATGCAGCGCTGAGGTGCGAGGTCAAGAGAGCCAAGGGTCCTAGGTACAAAAAATATATTTTAATATAAATTTCTCCATTAAACCTTTCCCTCCCCTGCATTTTTCTCTTGGCTTGTCGTGTAAGGAAAAAAGAGAAAGAGAAGAGAGAGGAAGAATGAGAGGAGGATAGAGAAAGATGACAGGGGGCATTTTTATTTGTTAGTTTCATTTAGATATTTTTTTCTAATTGTAGTAGGTAACCCGAATGCTACTTTCATTTTCAATGGTATTATATTTGATGAATTTAGTTTCCCGAAAGTAATAAAAATATATTTTCTCCTAATTTATTAAACTTTTATAATGTAACTTTTTTTGTATATAATAGATATGATTCTTTTGAACATTTTGACTACAATATTATTAATTTTTATCAGTTAAATTGATAGTTATACTTTTTTGAAGTAAAAGAATAGTTTATAGATTTTTCAACATTTCATAGATATTTGTATTTCATACATGATATTGAATTGCATAAAGAAATAATTAGACTGATAAGATAAATGTGGCATTTACATGTAAGTAATGAATGATGATTATTAATGCTATAATTAATATGAGTTGACTCTTAAAATGATATTAACTTGTATAGGAGGGTGGGCTGACATACTTTTATTTAAATAAAAAGGTTTATGGTGTAATCTTGGATGTTATACTGTAACTGATTGATTCATTACATCAATTGGTAGAGAGTAATGATTCTTTATTTATTTATTGAAAGCCACCTATTAAAATAAATAATTGAAAGACAAAATTGATATATAATGATGAATTGATAATTGGGCCTATAAGAGAGGGATGTGTTGGAGTTGTTTTACCTGTATGAATGGGATTCTAGGTATTCAAATTAGGATTATAAGTGTTAAAGAGGTTTTATAAATAAAGGATAATTGCTTTTGAAATTTCAATGGGGGTAGCATAATTTCCCAAAGGAGTGGACAACTCCTTAACATGTTTGTGATTCTAACTGCATTCAATTTTAAATTTAAGAATTTGTGACCATCTTCCCCATGAAATGAGCCATTTAGATTAATTTGTCTCTTTAAATGATCCAAGAAGCCTAGCAGAATGAGTATTGGCAAGCATATTCCCAAAACTTTGGTAGAGGCATTAAACATCCAGGATACATAAAAAAAAAGCTAATTCATTGAAGTTATAAATAAGAATAATAATAATAATTATATATCCAAAATTATTTTTGCAGAGTTCAAGTTAATTTGGTGTATTAAGAAGTAACAATACAATGAGTACATCTGATTGAAATTATAAGAGACGAGGCTTTATTGGCCCCAAAGCTAATTCGAAGAAGTAAAAAACACTTCAATGAACTCATGCATTAGACATATTCATTCACATATTCATTCAAAGCTTGAGAGATGAATATGTAAAGTAGAATGATTTCACAAAAGCAACTAGTCCATGTACTTAGCTCTAGAGGTTGAATAGGTAGGTTTATCCAATACTTTCAACATAATTACTCGTTAGAATAGACCAAAGCGGACAGAGTCAGCCAATAACTTAGGTTTGGTCCACCCCTTATTAGGAAAGTCCTAATGCCTGCCTTATATAATTAAAGAGCTATAACTAGTTTCTTCTTTCTATGGCAAAATTTTATAGGTTATGCCATTTAATATGTGTAATTTTCTTAAATTTAAAATTCATATCAAGCTATATCTACACTCACATCTTTAAATAGGACTTAGAGGATAAACATATTAAATAGAGCATTGTTTTAAGTTCTATATTTTCTGGCAATAAGAAACTAAAGAGATTTTCTTTTGATTCATTTTCTCCCTCTTTCTTGCTCTCTCATTTCTCAATCAATATTGCTAGTAAGGTCCTAATTCAATCTATATATAAATTTGAATTCAATAATAATAATAATAATTACACCCCCAAAATCATTTATGCAGAGTTCAAATCAATTTAAACAATTAGGTGGGATCGACACAATGAATCCATCAAATTGAAATTGCAAGAGATTAAGCTTTATTGTCCCTAAATTTGATTATAAGGCATCACCATCATTGCAATGAGCTCATCGATGAGATACATTTATCCCAAGCTTGAGAGATGACTATACAAAGTATAGAAACTTGCCCACATACTTGGCTCAAGAGATTAACTAGGTAATTATATCTAATGCTTTCAATATAATAACTCATTAAAATCAACTAGAGCGGATGAAGTCAACCAACAACTTAATATAAGTCTACCCTTTATTAGGAAAGTCCTAATGTATATATTATATAATTAAAGAGCTATAACCAGCATTTCTACTTTCTATTGCAAGACTTCATAGGCTATGACATTTAAATTATGTATTCTTCTTAAATATACTATTCCTATCAAGTTATGTCTATGCTCAAATCTATAAAACATATCAATTTTTAAAGTAATATACTTTCTGACAATAAAAAAATCAAAGAGATTTTCTTTTGGTTCTTTTTTCTCTCTCTCTTTCTATCTTTTTTCTCAAACTATCTTGTTGGTAAGATCCTAGTTCCATCTATGGATAAATTTGCATTTAATGATGACGATGATGATGATAATAGCAACTTTATTCCAATATCTCAAAACAAGCTATACATAATATTTTTATAAGCATGCCGATGTACAACCAAACCCATTAAAATAGATCAAAAAAATATTAATTGAATCTAAATAAGTCCTTTTCAAGATCATGACCTTATTAGCAAAATTGGTGGAGAAATGAAAGAGTGAAAAGAGCTAGAAGAAAATTCTTGATTTCTTATTACAAGAAATTATAAATTTTAAGATAGTGATCAATGTCTTATGCTTTCCTAATAACCACCTATTTATAGGAAGGGGTAGAGGAATAAATCTATTAAAGATAATGCATTTAAAAAATGCATGAATTTTATTATCCAATTTAATAAAATCATTTCATAGAAAGAAGATGCACTAAATATAACTCTTTAATTATATAAAAAAAATACTAAGACTTCCCTAATAAGGGGCAAACCCACAATAATTCATTAGTAGATTTCAACACTTTTATTTAGTTCTTATGAATTATTATATTGAATGCTTTGGATGAACATATTTAGTTGACCTCTGAAGCAAAGTTTATGGGTGAGTTATTTTGGTGACTTCGTTATATTTTATATAGTCATCTCTCAAGTTTGGGACAATTGTTTCTCATCGGCAAATTCATTGTAGTGATGCTGACTTTTTTTATCAACTTTGGGGCTAATGAAGCCTTGTCCCTAACAAAATGAATTTGAAGGAATTGTTATATCAATGCATCATAATTAGTTGAGTTGATTTGAACTTGACCCGAGTGATTTTGGGTGTATATTAAGTTCTCTATTTCTCTTATCTCTTTGAAGAGATTCCAAGTAAAAAGGGAATTTAAGGCTTCGTTTGGGATGGTTCACTTACTGCTTTTTAAAATAGTTTTTTAGTATAAAAATTAAAAACTTTGTATTAGGAACCTGCTTTAAGAAGCATCAAAAAAGCGGTCCCAAACTAATCCTAAATATTGTTTTAACTAATGGTCACATCACTTACGGCAGACTTAACTTGAGTTGAATTCTCCATAATTGTTAATGCCATAAACATACATTAATATGTATAGATGACATTCTTTGCAAATGTTTTCTTCTTTGTCTTATTCTTCATATTTTTTTCTCCATTTTTTCAAATGGTCGAGAAGATGAGCATCCTCTAAAATTTTCTAACTTGGTAGATCATTCTCTTGCTTTCTTCCAACTTTGAAGATGATCATCCTCTGAAATGTTCCATTATCTCTTACATAAGGAATAGGTAAATGAAGGACAAGCTTTAATAGAAAATGGAATATATAGAGAATCTCTTGAACACCATGTCACTTTGAGTGGTGAAGTTGGAACCTGATAAAACATGTAAGGAAATATTCATCTTTATGGGCCTTGTAGATCATATGTTCTCATTAACTTATAGTCACTCTATAAATATAATAAAAAAGCCTGACCTAATGGGGAGTCAATTTAGTAGGCTGACTGATGATGAGCTAGTTCTTATCTCATTAATCAAATCGAGTGAAGTGATTGTTGGCATCATTTTTTGTGTACTTTTAACACTTTGGTCCTATATATATCATATATTTTCTCTTTAGGTATATTTATGAGATGTTTCTCATACCCATTCATCTCATCCTTCTACTATGTTGTCACTTAATAGAGATCTCTTAAGATTTATAGTCACTAGATCAATGTTGTATCATTGAATTAACCATATTTTTCTAGATAATTATTATATATTTTATTAGTTCACCTAATCTCTAGCACATATATTTGGTTGTTTTCCAATCTCTCTAGGCTCAACAATTTTTTAAATTAGTTAAATCTCTCTCTCTCTCTCTCTCTCTCTCTCTCACTCACTCTCACTCTCTCTCTCTCTCTCTCTTGTTGCATTCCATGATGCCTAATCTAAGATTTTGATGATGACAAATAATACCGATTGAATTATTATTCAATGAATATTTTTTATTTCTGCTTTTGTCTGTGAGTACTAACTTTTCAAGAAAATCATAAATTACTCAAGACTACAAGAAGACTCAAGACTTGGTAGAGAAGGATTTAGAGTTTATAACCCAGTAATTTTCTTTTTTCTTTTTTTATTTTTTCTTTTTTTGAGTCTGGCCACAAAGTGTATGCAAAACTGAGCAATCATGCACACACACAGGGGGAGAGGTTTTTTAAATGAAGAATTTTTTTTCTTCTGCATATCGTATTGTACGAGTTTCAATCATACTATACGATCTGCTCTGGCTCAACAACTATCTTTGAACAAAACATACTGCATGATACGTATCATGTTGTACGATCTATTTCTAATTAAAAATCTTAGCCATCAAATTAATTTAAGTAAGTTCTTAATTCGTAAATTTTGAACTGATCATACTGTACGATAATATTGTACAGTACGAGTTTTTGAATACTTACTTAAATTAACCAGATGATTAGTCAATCAAATCAAGGATTAATTACTAATTGGTAATCGTACAGTATGATATACCAAGGCTATTTTTGATCATCTCAAACATCGTATCGAACAATCCCTTGATTTTTGTACTAATCATACTAGATGATGTGAACATCGTACCATACGATATGAAGGTTTTAACATATCATACTGTATTAAGTGGGTCGTACCATACGACGTATAGTGATGAGTTTTGGTCGTCTCATCATTCATCTTGTAGGAACAAAAGGAATTTAAAATATCATATTGGATGATGTTATATCGTACTATATAATATTATTCAGAAAAATTGACTGTTCGTACTCCTTCATTACAGGACGAAGGCTATTTTGAACTGATTGTACTATACGATCTTGGATCATACTATATGAATAGAAATAGCTATATTGAAAATTTAGAGTTTCTTGGAGCCTGATTTAAATATCTAAACTTCTGTCTTTTGAGAATAATGAAAGAGAGATGAACGTGACTAGAAGATGATTTCTTGAGATAGAGCTTTTGGAAAAGATTTTGGGTTTGTGAGAGGAGGGAGAAGGTGAGTTTGTGAGGGAGAAGGAGTGAGATGAAGATCACACGATTGCTCCTAGCTTGCTGTATGTTGCTCCTCCTGTGGCCTGAGAAGATCTTGTGGGAAGCTTTCTAAGGGGGAGATCCTTCAAGGTCAGTGTCCTCTAAGGTACTCTGCCTTCTCCAAGAGGGAAAAAAATGAGAAGGTATGTTGTCATCACTGGGAGGATGACATAGTGTTTGGTACTCTGTCACGCCGGGAAGGTGAAAGTAAGGTTTGTAAATGCTTCTCTGCCTTGTTGTGGGGGCAAAAAAAGAATTACTGTTTAGTAGTGAAATTCCCGGAGTGGAGGACTTCGGGGAGTAGACGCAGGTCAAGTGACCGAACCACTATAAATCTTATAGTGTGATTTTTTTTACTGCACTTTATTTACGTCTTGCATTTTTACATTCGTTATAATTGTTTGGTGAAAATCATATTATAATTCTTTGTTGAGCAAGTTAAAATTTCATTACATATTGTTGCAATCGTGTTTTAAGAATTCGCTTTCACATCAATTTAATTTTTTTGTTTAAAATTTAAAAACATAAAAAATTAGAACTCCTGTTTAGGATTGTTATTTTATTGCAACAAATTTCCAATTCACCCTCTCTTGGTGCATCCCGTACTTTCATCTCTATGTGTGTGTGTATGTGTGTGTGTGTGTGTGTGTGTGTGTGTGTGTATCACATAGCCATAATAGCTCATAGCTCAAATTAGGGATACTTAGGCTAGTTTAGCTAGGTTTTAGGTGAATCCTTTAGCCAATTTAGGATGTAGACCATTCATACCCATTTTGGTGAAACCCACTCCAAAGCTAACCCAAAGATTGTCCACTTAAGTTTTAAACTCCTAAACTTGACTTGGTTTTGTTCCTAACCCAATGGGTCACATGGTCAATCCAAACTCTTTGATCATATTATTGCATAACTTGACTCCCAATCTTAGCATTGTGTTAATCTTAGGCTAACATAGCCAAAGTTTAACCCTCTTAGGGATTTTAGGTCTAATATACATGCCCATAGACCATTAGCGACCCACTTGGGACTCTTTAGTCAATTCTAAGCTAACTAAATTAAATCTAGTTGACCTTTTAGCCCAATATTTTCTATTTAATCAACCTAAACCCCTCGAGCCCCTTAGGTTAGACCCTAGTCGAGCCTAGGACACATTTATCAACAACTTTTATACCATGGACTTTAGAATATTATTTTTCATAATCAAATCAATTCAAATTAAACACCACTACGTACTCTTCCCCAAAAATATCTATCTTTGTTTATAATATTGCATCAACATTACTTAATTTGGTTTATTTATATTTATTTAATAATTTAGTTAAATTGTCTAATAATTTAATAGTATTGAGGGATAATACATTATACATAAAATCATCAACATATGCTATAAAAATAAGCTCATTCATTGATATAATTTTTTTAAAGTTATATTTAAGTTATCTTAAAATAATTTTAACTTTAAAATTTAATTTGATTAATTTCATGAGAATATGATGAGGGCAAATTTTTTTTTAAAAAAAAATTACAATTGAATCCAATGTAATGTGACAAAAAAACGTATGGCCCTTAATTAATTAGAAATTAGCATCAAATTGATATGTAATCTCAGTCAGTCGAAGACCACAATCAACATGCTCCCCGCCGACTGCTCAGTCAACCCCCAACACCCTCCAATTAAATCGGACATCTTTCCCCTCAAAAAAAACCCCGCTTTCTTCCTCCTCCTCCTCCTACACTGAGGCCGCCGTCGAAATGCTCCGCTGGCGTCTTTTCCTCTTCCTTCTCCCCGTCTCCGTCCTCTCATCAAACACCACGTGTCCCTATGACATCCCCTATGCCGCCCAGATGCTTCCATCGATCTGCTACGCCAACTCCACCTCCTTTCCATCCGCCACCAGTTGCTGCTGGTACGTCTTCGCTTCCTACATCTACGCCGCTATCCGCTACTCCAACCTCACCGGAGCCGCCTTCCTCCCCCCTTCAACCGCCTCCGCCTGCTCCTCCAGCTTCTCCTCATACCTCCTCCACCAAGGCCTTGCCCGCCCCTCCCTCCTCTCCAGCTCCTCCTGCAATCTCGACGGCGACCCCGTCCGCCTCGCCGCTGGAAACCGCCCCTGTCAGTTCCCCTACGTCTCTCTCATCCGGTCCTCCACCGATCTCTCCCCTGCCGACAAACTCTGCTCCTCCTCTCCCCTCAATCCCGACTCTCACCCATCCCTCTGTTCCCAATGTCAGACCGCCGTCATCAACTCTACCTTCTCTCTTCTCAACGTTACCAACAGCAAGGAGATCGTCCCCTGCGGTATGGCCGCCACAATCGCTATCTGGTCACCGCATAACCCCTCTCTCCCCCGTTTCCGCTCCTTCGCCCTCTGCATGCTACAGATCCTCCAAAACATCGGCAACCTGGGCACCGGTGACATCGTACCCTCCCCTCCTCCTCCTCCTCCTTCTCCTCCTCCTCCTCCGATAACCTCCTCCGCCGTCTCCGGCTCCCGAACCACCAAAATCATCGCCGGATGCGCCACCGCTGCTGCCACCTCCTTGATCGGCGTCGTCGCGTTCCTCGTTTTCCTTTTCCGGAAACGCCGGAGAAAGATCAACACTTCTGATGGCGAATTCGCCACTTCCACTGAAATCATCTCTCCTGTTCTTCCCAGAGAGGGGCTTTACATCTTCACCAAGGCGGAGCTGAAGCAAGCAACGAATGGGTACGATGACCGGCTCCTCCTTGGCGCGGGTGGCGCTGGGGAGGTTTACTTAGGAAAGCTTCCCTCCGGCCAAGAGGTGGCAATCAAACGCATCAAACGCGAGAAGAAGCTCGGCGAATTCTACCGCGAGGTAGAAGTGCTCGCCAAGCTCCGGCATCGATACCTCACGACTCTTGTCGGATACTACCTCGGAGAGCCATACGAGCACGCGCTGGTTTACGAGTATATGGCTGGCGGCAACCTCGCAGGTGCACTTTCAGACGGAATTGGACTAACTTGGCGGCGCCGCCTCCGCATCGCGGCGGAGGTGGCCGAGGGACTCGTCTATCTCCACAACTTCCCGGAGGGCGCGGTGGTCCACCGCGACGTGAAGCCGACCAACGTTTTGTTAACAGAAGGCGGCGCGGTCGCAAAGCTGTCCGATTTCGGGGTTTCGCGGATTTTGCCGCAGGAGGGGAGCCACGTGTCGACTGAAGTGAAGGGGACGATGGGGTATATGGATCCGGAGAGCTTCTCCGTAGGCCACGTCTCGGAGACCGCCGACGTGTACAGCTTCGGCGTTGTGCTCCTCGAGCTCGTCACCGGGATGAAGGCTGTAGTCCTCACGCCGTCCGGCGGCGCCGAGTCGATCGTTCACGCCGCTCGGAATGCGGTTACCGACAGCGATTTGGAGTCGATCGTCGACCAACGGCTTGGCTCGTCGTGGGATCGGCCAACGGTAACGGCGGTGTTCGAGCTGGCGCGGCGCTGCGTCAAGCAGTACAAGCAGGATCGGCCGGCTATGGCGGAAGTGCTCGTTGAACTAAGAGGGTTGATAACTGATCTCGACGTGAGGAGCCTCGGCGGAAGCTTCGAGGCGTCGCCGTCGGCTCCATCGACGACGGCAACTTCGGGGGAGCCAACGTGGATGTCGGAGGAGAGTCAGTCAGAAATGGTGTAAGCCACCTTATGATCTGTTTTGATGGACGAAATTAAAAAATTTAACGGCACAAAATGTATCATATTATTCGAAATTGTAAGGCATTAAAAGATTATTCTTTTTTTCTTCTTGTTGACAGCTTCAATGGTTAAAAATTAAAATGATAGAGAGATTTGTTAGTTTTACATTGTTAAAAAATCATATCATAAGATAGTAGAAACTCTTACGTAAATCTAAAAAGAAAATTTTATATAATTTAGCTCAATTAAAATATATATTCTTTATATTAGTTGGAGATTATAATAATCCATCTTTTTCGTTGATTGAGAAATAATTATGAGGATAAACTATAGGGGTTTCTCTTATAAGAGAGATTATTACGTGCAGAGTCAGGACGTATCCGAAAATCAATCCAGATGTGTCACATTACCCAATATGTTATGTGTTGGATGATGTGTTGTGTCCGGATTAACCTTCGAAAGCGTCTGAAAACCGCACATACTAATTTTTACTCTTACAAAAGGATGATAATTCGGGGTGTCAATTTGGGTCAACGAGTCAGGTTCAGGTTGAACCCGAAATTGTTTGGGTCAACCCGAACCCGACTTGACACAAATGACCCCAAGTTGACCTGAAATTGTTAGTTTTCGGGTAAAAAATCGGGTCAATATTCGATTTTGGGTCAAAATTGGGTCAAAACGGGTCAATCTCATGTTTCCGAGTCAAATAGGAGTTTCGTGTCAATTTCGGGTCATTTTCGGGCTGCTAGGTCAACCCGAACCCGACCCGTTTCGGGTCCAGGTCGACCCTACCTCGGATTTTTTTAGGTCGGGTTCGGATCGTGTTTCGGGACGTGTCAAAAATTGACAACCCTAATGATGATGATCATTGAGGATTGGTAATAATAGTTGTAGGTCTCACTTGACAGTGAGCTGGCGATTGTAGTTGTTAAAGTCAATTAATGATGATTGTTTTTTTTTTTTTTAGAATTAAGTGGCAATGTCGGAAATCACAAATATATTATATATGTAAGACTCGAATTCATGATCTCTTAGCTGATAGTCAAAACACCAAACCCTAGATCAAGAAGAGCAGCGTATTAATGGTGATTGTTAGAGAGCAAGTGATGATATATGGGCTATGGTAATCATTCATGTAGCTCATTTGTATTGGTGGATTCTAAGGGCAAATAGATAAAGAAAAAAAAGTTCATGAGTTAAGAGGTGAAACCCTAAAATGATTAATTGGGGTCGAGTCGATGGTTGTAGCTTATGTTCTTTTAAAATGTGTAGAAATATGGCCTATTATAGATTTTTAAAGAATCGTTTGTATCAAAACAAACAAACAAGTCTCTCTGAATCACTTAATATTTTTTGGACATCTTAGGTTTTGTTTGGGACGGCTTTCTTACTATTTCTTAAAACTGCTTTCTAATACAAAATTTATAATTTTTATACTAAGAAGCTGTTTTAAAAAGCATGAAGAAAATCGTCCAAACGAAGCCATAGTTTCTCAAAGAACTTTAAATTGAGATGATGTTCTTTTTTACTATAAGCACCGAGCACGTGAAATTCAGATAATATTTAAACCCTTAATAAGTCATGAGAAAATTTCATTTATATTTCAAATGCTTGATTTAGGCCCATTTAACCTCTAATCCAAATTTTTCCCTTTTTTTTTTTGGTTAATCAAACACAGTTTACATTTATTAAAACAAGGATTGAATGAACATTTTGAATATTTGGCCTAAATATCTGAGTGCTTTAAGTTTGAAAAATTACATCAAATTGTTGCTTGACTAAACGGAAAAAAAATGGTGTTGTTAAAAATTTTAAGGAATGATCATTCTTTGGATGTCAATATAGGCCATGACTTAGGGTTCATTTAGAACAACATTTTTATCGCTTTCTAAAGTAATTTTTTAGTTCAAAAATTTTTAATTCTAAAAGTTTTTGCACTAAAATGGTGCTTTAGAAAGTAGTAAAAAGCTGTCCCAAACGAAGCCGTAGGATTATGAACTAGGCTTTTCCCATAATTTCACTTTTTATTAGAGTTAACATTTTTTTAAATAAAATTTGATGAAAAGCTTAACTTAAAATTCTAAGAAAATTTTAAGAACTAAAATTTAGGCTTGTGGTCATAATCGACTACGAACAACCTGTGGATGCCTTAGCTAGGTGGGGATGACCATTAGGGCTGTCAAAATCGAGTCTCGGGTCAGGTCCAACCCTAAACTGACCCGACACAACTTGAGCTGACTCGAACCTGACCTATTTTTTTCAAATGGGTCACTTTCTCGGACCCAACCCGACTCGCTTCGAACCCGGATCAACCCGACACGGCCCGCCAACCCGTCATCTTCTTTACTTCATATCCAACAAAAAATGACGAGATGGAGGTGATGAAATGGCAGCTGGAGAACGGGACGGTGACGACGACCAAGGGCAGTCGACGAGATCGCTTGTTTAACTTTATATCAGCTAGAGGATGAAACAGATGCAGGAACAATAAGCAGGACGGGACGGCGGCAATGCTCAGGTGTACCTAGCGGCACCGGCCAGGTATGCTAGCTCGAGTGGGACGGCGGCAGTGGCTAGAAGCAAGATGGGATGGCGATAGCGCTTAGATGCACGCAGCTGCACCGACCAGGCAAGGCAGTAGATAGGAAGATGACAGCGACACTGGTTAGGCGGCCATGAAGCCAATGCGGATGGGACAACGATAGTGGCACCGGCCACCGACACTTGACGAGATGTCATCACATGACTCACATCAGACACGGTTACTCGATGAGATATAATCAGCGTGGACGGAACAACGACAACATCATAGGACAGCGCGGACGTGACTCACTCGCGATGTTCCCGGGTTAACCCTGATTGAGTTTAGGTTTCCAGGTCAACTTAAATCAGATCCATTTTTCCAAACGGGTTGAATTCGAAAACCTGAACCCAACCCATTTTTTAAATGAGTTGACCCTAATCAGAAGAGCAAGCCCTTGACTCACAATGCTAAATTACACTTGTAGATTTAAATTAGCAAGTAATGGAATGGCCAACCCACTTAGGTTTCATTTGGGACAGCTTTCGTACTTCTTTCTAAAGCAGCTTTTTATTACAAAAATTTTTTTGCTTTTGAAAGCAATAAGAAAGTTCTCTCAAAGGAAGCCTTAGGCTTTATTTGGGACGGCTTTTTTATTGTTTTCTAAAACGGAGTTTTAGTACAATTTTTTTATTTTTGTACTAAAACTCCGTTTTAGAAAGCAATAAAAAAGCCGTCCCAAATGAAGCCTTAATCTAATATGATCTATAGAACTTGGCTCAACCCAAATGTATATATTTCATCATTACAATAAAAATTATTTAATAACATATCATTGCATCTAAATTATAAATAATGAATTGGTTTTTTAATATAATAGAAAAGAAGTTGTGATCCTCCTTGTCTAGTGAGCCAACTAACTCTAATAAATGCCCAGTACATCAAAGTATTTTTTTAGCTTTATCTTCACTGTTTCTTTTTATAAATGATAAGGACACAATCAAATAACAAATTAATTATTTTCCTCAACACATTAGCTCATAAGCGTGTCATTGTCATAGTTCCCTAATGAGCTCTATGAGAGGAAAATCACATCGCTAAAATTTAAAAAATATATGTGATTATGACATTTTAAGCTTCCTTAATTATGTTATTTCTATTAAAAAAATCATGATAATATTTTTGGAAGGATTAAATTTATGGATCTTTATTTTAGAAACCAAAGTCAATTTCACTTAATGAATTAATTAATGATAATTAAATTTAACAATTTAGTATTAGTATGATTTTATGTAACATTTGATTAGAAATGGCCTTTTTTTTTTTGCAATTAAGTTTGCTTATTGGCCTTAAAAATTCTCTTAATTTGAATCATTAATTCCTAAATATTCATGCAACCTTCATGTTTTGGCTTTATGTTTAAGGAGTAGACATTTTTATATAAAGGATAAGCATTCTTTTAGAGTTGTGCATAAGCCATTTAAGATCATTTTAATTCCTCAAATGCCCTCTTGGAGCTAAGAATTTTGGCATTATATAGGAGAAGGAAGATTTATGTGTGAGATAATATCTTAGCATTTCATTGATATTCTATTTTTCTTATTGTTTGAACATAGGTTTAGTTGGGTTTTTAGGAATGGTGATAAGGGTTCTTTCATTTGATAGGTTAGAATTATTGTTTATCAATATTTTTTTAATGGTGATAAGTGTTCTTTCATTTGAATGTTTGGGTTATATTCTTTTGTTTCTTTCATATTTATTTTGCAAAATATCATATCCGAACACTGATATTATTTATGACATCTTTTGACGTCCTATTTACAAAATATGTTATAATAGCATATGTTTAAGATTGAAAACCACAAAATTAGAGATCAAGAAGGTTATATTTTGCATACAAAGTTCTGATTTGTAACGATGGATTGGCTGTCATAATTCAAACAGTACAAATATTTTTTATGTTTTTTTTTTTTTTGTATGGAGAATATCGTCTGCCGCACATTTGCGATAAAAAGTGGCGATTATTAAGACACAAAATTTAGCGGTGATTTGGTGCAAATTGGTGATAGCTCACTTATTACTTATTTGATATATACTTTATGGTTAAAAGCAAAAAAATAAAAGATTGAGATGAATTTAAGATATTGAAACTAATAAAATCAAGTTGTTTGCTAATCCATCATAACATCATTACAAACCTGAAGACAGGTTAAATTCCATAGCAATTTTATTACTAAGCTATTGCTAAATTGTAAGCCATTTGAAGCTTTTCACTAATACCTCACTATGTCTTTATTAAGTTACTTTGGCACGCAATCAGATAAGAGAGAGGGTGTGTAGCATTTATGAGACACCAAGATTTAATATTTACTTGGAAAACCCCTGAAAAAAAAAAGTAAAAACCACGGGGCTGGCCTAGCCCAGTTTGAATGAATCCACTAGCATTGCAGTTGATTACAAATGAGGCCCTTCTTTGGGGGAAGACCTTAGCTTGATGCACATCTTATACAGTACATTACATGATAAGAATACAAAGAATCAATGCTTATGTGTTTGTTTGGTCTGAAAGACTGTAGTCCGCGGGCGATGTAAGTCAGAAGGACCGTAGTCGGCGGGCGACAAAGGTCGGAAAGACTGTAGTCGGCGGGCGACGGAAGTCAGCAGGACCGTTGTCTAACTGTGAAGGTAAGAAGGATGGCGTCAGGAAGACATCTAGTAATTGACATAAATCCAGCATCAAATAGATGTCCGGCGAAAGTCCGATAATAGGAAGAAGTCTGGCGTCGGGTAGAAACTTGGCGACGAGCGAAGATCCAGTGTAGGGTAGAAGTCCAACTTCAGTTGGAGGCCGAGGAGAACTCCGGCGTTCGATGATATTCGGGCAGAACTCCGGCGTCACTTGGAGTTCGGGTGAAACTCTGGCGTCACTTGGAGGTCGGGCAGAATTCCAGCGTCACTTGGAGGTCAGGCGGAATTCCGGCGTCACTTGGGCAGAGTTTCGGCGTCGGTCGGAACTCCGGCGGTGGTCGATGAGGAGTTTCTTCACTCCTATCTTCTCTTCTTCTTCTCTTGCTTCTTGCTTCTCTTGCTTCAGGCCTTTGATTCAAACCCATTAGGGCTCGGATTGAGCTGAATTTGGTGTCGTTGGGTTCGTATTTCCAAGACGATCAATTCAACTGTAAGTTTGCTGAAATCGAAGTTCAGATGATCCCAAAATTAATTTTTGAAGTTTCCAACTTGATTTTTGCCTCGAGATTCGAGCTCGATCAAGATAATTTTTGGAGGACATATCAGTTAGAATTATTGTTTATCTATATTTTTTTAATGATGATGAGTGTTCTTTCATTTGAATGTTTGGGTTATTTTCTTTTGTTTCTTTCATATTTATTTTGCGAGATATCATTTCCAAACACTGATATTATTTATGACAACTTTTGACGTCCTATTTACAAAATATGTTATAACAGCATATGTTTAAGATTGAAAACCACAAAATTAGAGATCAAGAAGGTTATATTTTGCATACGAAGTTTTGATTTGTAACGATGGATTGGCTGTCATAATTCATACAGTACAAATATTTTTAATGGAGAATATCGTCTGCTGCACATTTGCGATAAAAAGTGGTGACTATTAAGACACAAAATTTAGCGGTGATTTGGTGCAGATTGGTGATAGCTCACTTATTACTTATTTGATATAAACTTTATGGTTAAAAGCAAAAAATAAAAGATTGAGATGAATTTAAGATATTGAAACTAATAAAATCAAGTTGTTTGCTAATCCATCATAACATCATTACAAACAGGAAGAAAGGTTAAACTCCATGGCATACTAAGCTATTGCGAAATTGTAAGCCATTTGAAGCTTTTCACTTATACCTCACTATGTCTTTGTTAAGTTACTTTAAAGCTAAAAGTCTACCATAATTTAATAGTAACTTTGTATTGTAATGAACTCAATTTCTACAAATTAGTTAAATTATTTATGATTAGAGAAATATTAATGAAATTGTTGATGGAGATAAATAAGATTTTACTAATGTTGTTATATTCATCTCTTTTAATTATAAAAAAAAGGTTTATTTTGTGAGAGAAATTTAATGCTTGGAGCAAGACTTTTTGAAATTTAAATGAAGAGAGAGCAAATAAAAAAAATATATATTAATTTTAAAAATAGAGAGGAGCATGTGGAAGACAACCACTTGGAGATATAATAATGGACACAAATACAACTACTATGTATTATGGATTTATTTTTTTCTACTACTATAAGTTATAGAGCAATGTTCATTTTTTTTCCCTCATAGTTGATTAGTAATAAATAAATAAAATGGGAACCACAACCTTAAATTGTTTGTTGCATGTGTAAATTCTTTGAATTGGATGCATGCTATTTTAGGAGACTATGGCTTCGTTTGAGACTACGTTTTTATTGATTTTTCAAAAAGAGTTAAGTGAAAAACATAAGAATAAAATTTTTATATTAAAAAAAATAATTTAAGAAGCAGTAAGAAAGTCATACAAAATGAAGCCTAGGGATGTCAATTTCGGGTCACGGGTCAGGTCGAACCCGAAATGGCGCAGCGGACGAGCCAACAGTTCCGCGCGGGCAAGCGAGTAGCGGCGCCGTGGGCAGACGCAACGCGCGACTACGACTTGCGAAGCGACGAGTGGTCAGGCGCACTCGGACTCTGTGCGGGCAACTTCGGTCAGGCCCGATCAGGGTGGGCAGCGGGTCATTCTGGGTCATTACCGGGTTTTCGGGTCAACCCAAACATGTCCTGAGTTTGCAAACCGTTCGAAAACCTTAACTTGAACCCGACCTGGTTCGGGTTCGGGTCAACACGAACCCGAAATTTTCAGGTCGGGTTTTCGGGTCGTGTCCAATATTGACACATCTGATGAAGCCTATGTCAAATCAAAACATCTTAGCATTTTGATATATCTTATTTAAAAGATTTAAGCAACTCTTATTTCAGTTCTCACACTAAAAGAGTCATCAACTATATGCAGGGGATACCTAAATCACAATTTCCTCACATCTACATCATAGTAAATTTTATAACTTTCGAATTAACTTTGAGATAAGTGAAACACATAAGAATATAGTTTAATCAATCAATATACTCATTTCATTCATCCCAAAGATAATATATAAAAAAAAACTATAAAAATATATCATTATAATAGTAATGGAGGCTTCAAGATTTCATAAGGGAGAAAAAATAATAGAAAATTGCTTCTCAATTTCTTAGGAAGGCTAAATCAAGAAGGGAGACTTTTGCATGCCTTTAATACCACCCCCATACAATATAATATAATGGATTATAAATATTTTAATATTATTTTTTGCTTTCTCTTACATAATTGGATTATCATGAATGAGGGATGCTCTCCTGCACATTTCTTGTCGTGTTAAAAAATTTTAATAGAAAAAAATTAATGATGAAAAAAATAATGTTTTATTAATTTTAATGAAAAAGTGTACATTAAAAAATAATAATTATATTTTTGTTATTTGATTTTTTTGAGAAATTGTGATTATATTTAAAAATTTTATACTATATATTAATTTATAATTTTTATCCAAATATATAATAGAATATAATAAAGTCAAATTAGGAGCATCATGGGATTTTGGGCTTTCCATGAGTAAAATAAAATTTGGTTGCCAGCAAAGCTTCAACGCCTATAGATTATTTGGTCTCCATTTAGTTCATATTATAGACAATTAAATAAAAAATTTAAAAAAAAAATCTTATTTATTGAACTCTCAAATTAAAATCACAATTAGATTATTTATCTCTATTAAGATGTAACTAAGTCAAACCAAGTGGTGAACCAGTTCAAATTCAACTCAATAAATAGCTCATGAGTCAAGTTCAATCAAGTAACCCAGCTCAGCAGCTCATAAGCTAGCTCATTTAAAAATATATATATTAATATTAAATACAATAAAAATAGATGTATAAATTTTTTAAGATTAGCATAAAGTTTTTTAAAATATTTAACAGTTATTTTATCTTTCTTATTTCAAATGAATTCTTATTATTTTTATTTTTTTATAATCTTATTATAATAATTATTTGAAGTGAAATAGAAATCAATTTTATATAACTTTATAATTCTTGATGTAACGAATGTGCAGGGGACTTTCACCATATCTTCTATGTTTTCTCCACTACTTTCTCTCTCTCTTCCTAAAACTTCTAATTAAATTTAAAAATAAAGTGAAAACATCTGAACTACAATTTGATAATGATATATTTTAATTTTTTTTATAATTTATTTAGAGAGAGAGAGAGAGAGAGATGCCTGCAGAGTTACAGGTATCAAAAAATTTGACAACATAAAAGAAGCAAGAAATGTTCTATCACAGAAGCTCACACTCCCCACCAAGCCAAACAAAAAGTATTTTACACAAGATTTTACTTCATAAATCAAACCAAGCAACTCCAAACAATCATTAAACCAATATCCTTATCCTTCTATTACAAGCTTTAAACTTATGACAGCAATAATAGCCATTTAGCAGACTACAACTAACAAGATATAGGCTTGCCACTTATTTCAAGGCTTAACAAAAGACTAAAACCAGAAGCTTATCAAGGAACAGAAAGACAAACAACAACACTTAATTTCTCCATCTTTACAAAACAACTAATGATCTGAAACTGAGCATAGCCAATCATGACTTGCCAAATGACAATGCATTATGGAATGCCGATCCCATGTCGGTCATTATATCATCATTGTTAGCCTCATCCCAAGTAGATCGAGTCGGCTTTATCAACCCCATATTGGTCATGACAAAATTGCAAATCTTTTGCCTCACATGCTCAATCTTTTCCACTAGAATTTCATCTTCAGATTTACTTAAAACCACATCTATCCAATCACTAACTCGCTTCAAGTGAAACACAACTGCAGCAACTCTACTATTGTCATTCAAGAAACCTTCTTCATTACCTTTTTTGTGCTCACCAAATATGAAAAACCCGACACTTATGGCTCCCTCAACAAACTTTAGAAACCAAATTTGCATTTCATTTTGAAGTGCTTCTGCAAGGTTCAGTGTTTGCACAACATCTTGTCCTCTAGTCCAAAAGTTAGTAGCAGAACAAGTAGCTGATACTTTTGTTTGACTTTTAGCATTTGTTCCAACAGAAATCCTTTTAGATATGTTTGATTTTGGATAATCTCCACATGGAATTGCTATTTTTTCGGAGTCTTTTTGCTTTGTGTGGCTATCAATGGTGTAGTTTATCAAATTCAGAACTCCAAGGTCTGTTGTCAGTGCTGCTTCAACCCAGATGGAAGTTGATTTGGCTCGATTGATGGAAAGCGAATCAACGGGAAAATTACATGTGCGGCTAGCAACAAGAGATGCAACTATTGAAGTCTCCTTCATAACATCATCATAGATGGATAAGAAAGTGTTGATTGTTCGTAGAAGATTTCCCTTCTTTGATGCCAAGCAGAGTTCAGAGAACATACTACGAAGGTAAATGACAAGGCTTCGAATTAGACGTCTTAGAGATTGAGAAATAGTACAAAACATTTAAAATATATAAGCAATCTATTACCTTAGACTCCTAATAATCGATTCTGTAGCCAAAGCCTCTTCTAAAGCCTCAGCTGCAGCAATGGAAGCAGTATTTCTCCTTTCAAAAGCCTCCTGCAATTTACATATCAGTTAAGGGGAGATGCCTTGAAAAAATGAAAAAAGATTGATAAATGGCAAGATCATGTCCATATGACCTTACTGTATATGGAAACTTGTTTGTATCTTTCAAAGACACTTTTTTAGAGAAAAGGCTATCTTTCTAGGAATACAAGCAAAGGTTCTTAAGGCAGAGCCATAAATAAATTTCATTACCTTTCCAAGTCTCTCAAGGTTCTGAGAGACACCATCCAACGGAATGCTTCCATCTGTCCATTTTCGATCATAGAATGCACACTTCGGTGCCGTGGGATTAGCATTCTCCATTACTGAACCAACAATCTTCTTGCTTGTTCTTCGCTTCACCTCCATTGATTCTTCCTCATTATGGGATTTATCCTTGGTAGCATCACAAGCCTGACAAGACGTGGCAATCTTTAATCATGTAGGCAGGTGAAATTAAATAATCAAGTCAAAATAGAATAGACGCAAAGAGTAATCATCATTCATAAAAATCCTCAAACTTAATTCAACAACAAAATGGCCAAACTAATATTTTGAGAATGCGCAAGTAGAAACTTCAAAAACCTAGTACCACTTTAGCTAATATATGTTACCAGAAATAGCGCGACTCCACCTGAAAGTTATGTTTTTCTTTACCTTGAAAACTATCAGATTCATGGTTTGAGAATAACCATGAGAAAAGAGAATATCACACCAACACTCACAGGTCAACCTCTCAGATGCAAATCAAAATAGGAAGAAAATAAAACGATGCTATATTTTGAAAAGAAATCTGACTCGTAATAAACAAGCTCTTGCATCCATCCTACCAACAAACCATTAGCTTAAGAATTCTTTCATATTTACTCAGGTGGATCCTATTACGATCATAAGAAAATGAATTGATAAAATTCTATGGTCATAATGTTGTTTTCCCAAGAATCACAGAAGGAGATAGGAGTAAATATGCTTCGCCAAGTGTACTCATTGTTGGAACCTGTAAAGTGTAGAGATGAGCATGAGTATTTAGTAGATGTATCAAAAAAGATGAGAAGAATGCCCAAAAAATGTCAAAGTAGCTTATTTTGTGGAAATACTATTTCATAAAAAGTGAATGGCCCATGATAGTAGGGTACCTCATAAATGATTTTGCAATGCCTTTTTGTTATCTCAAAGGTTTCCCATAACTTGCAAAATTAGTTGAGGAAATTGCAAAAAAAAAAAAAGTTGAGGAAATTGTATTAATTTACACAGGAAATAAATTTCTGATTTGCAATATGAAATTAAACCTTTTAAATTGGTAGATAAAATTGAACTCTCTCTACTGAGCAAATTCCATAAATTTTTAAGCAGATCCTCCCTAAACTTGGGAGAAAAGTATTCTCACAAAAACAGTATTTTAAAAGGAACAAATTGACTGTTCATGAGGTAACTTCTTGTGAATCAACTGCCACATCAAGGGGCAACTCCCGCATATGTGGCAAATCTACTAATGGACCTTCCAAATAGTGACCCACCTAAATAATTCGCCGATAAATAAGTTATTTGCCTGGATGGTTTCCCCATCAATTACCTTTAAGGATGATAGGGCAACATTTTCCCTACACAAAAAACAATATAATTTTTTAATAATTTGGAGTACCCCTCAAAAGGATTTAGGAGGGGGAGAAAATTTCAGACGTGACAACACTTGTCAATAAATGATTGGATGATAAAAATATCATCTAAGGTTTGTATGACAATTTTGTTGTTCAAGGCTTCAACGACAACAATGTTAAGTCGGACAATAATTTTCTTTTCAAAGCCTAAGTTTTGAATGACAAATTTGCAGTCCAAGGTCTTCTTTGTTTGTCATCCCTAAAATTTTTTGTTCTATAATGTCTTTCTTGAGTGCACTTAATGCCCTCAGACCTCAGGTCATTATCATTATCAATCATCATGATATCATAAAAATCTATCTGCTGAAAGAATTTAACCAATTGAAGAAGTTGAATATAAGAGTAAAATTTCAGTCGAAAAGGCAAGGGTGGAAGAAGCCGCATAGAACATGATAGAAAAAAGTATATAAATATAGGTATTACATAACATTGCAATGCCTAAATTGCATAATTTCAGTTGTTACAATATATAATTACTTCAACTCAGGTATCAAAGGAAAAGGATGTTTTGTCCTTTACTAGGTTATGTTAGAAAAAAATCATAATATTGCTTGATCTTTGGATAGTGTTTACAGAAGGATTTTTTCTTCTTCCCAGAAGGCAATCTTCTCGTGATGAACAAGGCAAAACACTCTTAAGGACTTTAGTCTTAACTAAGTACATCTCAAGGGTATGCCCCTACAATTTGTTGACACAATGGCCCATCAAATATAGGATCATCATCTTTATGGTACGTGGTTTCATTTAGATTGTGAAAGCATATTTGCAGTTCATGACGTCCAACTTTATAGCAAGTAATTTGTGTGCTTAGCATGGACATTATGCCACCTCATGGAATTAAGAAATGGCAAACTTGGATATGTATTTGTGAGCATTTTTTGCTTTTATAGACTTGAGAAGATAATCATCATGCTCATTTGTCCATTAGTGTTAGTGAAACCAACAAGTGTCACTGTCATTCACTATATTTTCATGATCCAATACTAACTCAGGTGAACACCATAAAATGATGATTTAGTGATAGAATGGGGTTGTGCTCAAACCCAATGACGTCCTCTAAGAAAAGGATAAAGCATAAGTCAATGGAATAGTTAAATGACTATGCTCTTCATGATCACTACTACAAGAAGTGGAGTCCTGCATGCTCTTGTTGATATCATTAAAAAAATGCTATAATTTCCTCAACTATAAGTTGCATGTCACTCGCATCCTAGCCTCCCAATTAAAAAAAAATGAAAAAACAACTTGATTATGATGTGAAAAAAATGTGAAAAAACAACTCGATTATGATGAATTGATTTTTCTACATTAACAAGAAAAAATTATTTGATTGAATTGTTGAGTTCTTAATTATGTATTAAAGAATATCTCACGGCATAACAATGCTTATTAATGCAACAATACATCAAGCTTAAAGGGATCCACCAAATCATAACACCATGGAGCATCATGGAGGATCACACCATGTGGGCCATTACATAGTTTTAGGAAAAGAAATTAGAATTGGTTTTGGCCTTATTTCAAGTGCTCCATTCTAGCATATAAGAGTATTATTCTCTAAGGCTCTTCCTCTTGAAATTTCTACGACTAAAGAAGGGGGGTTTTTTCCCCTTTGGTGCATAGGGTATGCTCAAGCTTTTAAGAAAAAGGCTCAAGCTAATTCCTTTGATGATCGAGTGGATAGAGGAGAATAGAAGATCATAGTTAAGTATATGTTAGTGTTTTTCCTTTTGTGAAATCCGACAACTAGAATAGGTCCCAATTACACTAAAATAGTCCTTCGTTATTCTCTTGTTCTGGCAGATGAGTATTTAACTAGATTAGAAGGTCAACCATAATTTTTGTAATTCCAATGAACATTGTTAATAGGATAAAGTATTTACAATCCAAGGTAAAGCCATTCCCAAGGTAAAGCCATTCCGGGGGATTGGCTTTACCTTGGATTGTGGTTGTCTTATTTATGAGAGATAGGCGAACCTGAGTTTTAGGCGAGGACAGTGAGAGTTCCTATGTTTTATATAACCATTGTGGTTTCTTATTTAATATATTGAATCATCTCCTCTTTTGTCAATGTAGGCATGTTTAGTCAAATCACATAAATTTTGGTATCTCCTTTGTGTGCTTAATCTTTTTTTATATCACTTTGGAATTCATCATGTTTGTTTAAGCTTTTGAATAAAACTTTAATGCTCTTTGAGATGGGCAATTGTATTCATATAATAATTTGAGAATATTCAGTAGAAACTTCAAAAAGTTTAAGAAACAACATTATTTGTAGAGAAAGATAGAATAACACTGAAATTTAGGATACCCTTTTCAATGAAAAACACCAGCTTCAAGCTTTGAGAATAATTGAGAAAATGAAGATATCACCAATGCCCTATTCAACTTCTGAGATGCAAACCAGAATTAAAATAAAATAAATTGATGCCACAATATTAAAAGAAAAATGACTCTAAATCCTAAAAATTATTTTCTATACAAGAAGTCAAAGCCTGCAAGAAGTGTAGGGAATGATAGAGAATAATAAGAGCACCATTTTACACACTATTGGTGGTGAACTTGCCATTAGAAATTAACAAATGTGTGCATTCACCCTAAATGTCAACCATTGTTTTTATTAGCTCAGGTGACTGCCTTTGTGATCATAAGGCATTGTCTTGATTAACTTCTAAGTCAATAATTTTATTGTCACAACGTAGTGAAGTGATGGAATGAAACATCAAACTTATTGCAACATTCAAGAACCACAGAAGGAAATGGGCGTTCAAATGCATCGCAAAACTGTAGAAATTGTTGTATCTTGTGAAACTTGATTGGGGAGCATAGTAGATGCGCCAAATAAGTTGGGGAGACGCCAAAAATTATGTTTTGCAAGTTTTTGTTTCCTCAGAAGACTACAATAAATTACACAAAATTAGGAGATAAATTACATTAATCATTGTTCAAAACATTTGCACAACAATTTGAAACCTTAGCACATGAACTAATTTTCTGATTTGCAAAGGATAACTAAATGTATTAAATTGACTGTAAATGAATTTGAAATTCTCTGTAACGAGCAACTTCATAACCTAACCCAGAAACATATTACAGGTACCGTTTTTGAAACAGGGTACACTTGAGATATCCTCGTTTTTTTAATCCACTTTCATTTATTTTACAATTTCACATTAATGTAGTTCTTGCCTTTCAAGGAATACAAAGCTACATTTATCATTCTTTTCGCCAAATCTGATTAAACATTCACAGTTAACCAAATCATTTGTATTTAAAAAAGAAAACTTCGGGCAACAACAAAAAATGGTACATTCTGCGTAAACAAAAAAGAAAATTCAGCTAGAAAATAAAGTCATTTGTTTAAGAGTAACATAAAAAATTTCTATTACCTGTGCTTTCATTGGAGCTTGTTCACGTACTTTACTCTTTGAACCTGCATTTCCCTTATTTTCAGCAGAACTATTCTCCGAACTCGACGAATTATCATCCCAGCTCTTCCTCACCGATCTCCCAGACATCATAAGTGCATCAGAAACCTTGGTGATCCCGGCCACCACTATCCCTACCTTCCTCTTGCCCCCACCATCCCCAGTCGCAGGCGAGAACTTCATCCCTCCCGACAACCTCCGCCCACCTGGCGACGCCACGGCTTTCCTTCCAATTGGCGACGCCACCGCCGTCTTCCTCCCAACCGGCGAAGGCTGCCGGTACCTCGAAGGCACTACAATCGCGGGCTCCCTCGCAACTTTCCTATTCTCCTCCCTCGCCGCTACCAGGCTCGGCACCTCGCACTTGGACGGCACCGGCGACGGCGCCCTAGAACCAACCCTGCTTCCTTGCTTTTCTGGAACCGGTGATGGATTCCGAGAAGCAGGGGAGGAAAACCTGCGCTTGGGCTTGGAGACAGATGAAGTGGTACCAGACGAAAAGCTGTTTGACGCGGCGTTAAGGACATTTTCTTTTGGAGCAAAGACTGCGCGCGGCTTGACTGTGGCAGCGGCAGAAGAAGGAGAAGCTGGCTGGATAACGAAGCCTGGGGCATGAGAAGGGGTGGAAAGGGCGATAAGGGGTTCCGGCGAGCCAATAAATGGGTGTTGACGAGACGAGGAAATCGGGCGGAGGCCCAAAGCACGGGGTACAGGGAGATCGAAATGCAAGCGATCAAGGTGGACGAGCTGGCCGAGCTGAGGGCGGTTAGAGACAATGACATCAGCTTCCTGATCGGAGAGGGAGACATAGGTGGAGTGGAGGGAATCAGAGAGTTGGAGGTAAAAGCCATGGGAAGACCAGAGATCGTCGGAGGGAGCGGGGACGATGCCGGTGACTTGAAGAACAGCAGACCGATGCTCGCCGAAGGGCTTTGAGTCGGAGTTCATGGATTGAAGGAGCTTGAGGAGCACGCCGGCGGTGAGGGTAGCCATTGCAGCGTCGATTCGTGGGGAGGGAGGAGAGAAAGAGCTTCGGAAATTTGGTGAGTTCCGCGAGTGAGGCACGTGAACCACTGAGGATTCAAATTTCAAAATGCCCGACGGTTTAAAGATTCCATCGCCTTATTGTGTACAATACGCTCACCAAAACTTTCACCCACTGATGTGTCTGTATGAGACAAAATCGTTATGAGAATGAACTTATTTTTATTACTTTTATTGATATTTGAATTTCGATGTGTACTTTTAAGGAATTAAAAAATAAATATCTATACATATTGAGGTTAAAAATTAATAAAGCCAAATACAAAGTAATTAATATTTTTATTTTATTTTATTTTATTTTATTATTTTAAAATAAAATTTTGAAGATCAATGTTAGGTGTTGTTTGGTTTGTGCATTATACGAGTAAGTATTTCAAATGCAGGGGCATTGAAAATATTGAATTTTGATATGAAGTAAAAGGAATGTAGAGTAAAATTTTGAAGGTAATGGAATTCATATTTTAGTTCAAATTTATAGTATTTGGAATTCCTTATATTTGAGTGACTTCTAAATGCACTGCAAACTCACCACCATTGCCACCGTCGGCCGCCACCTCCACCAACCGCTTGATCACCCCTAGCCACCCGACCATTTCCCACCACCTAACCACCGCTAGCCATTGGCCCACCGCTAGCTGTCGACCACCTGCTGATCATCTCAACCAATGTCGTCCACCTCTGATCATAATTTTTTGTCATTTACATTACATTTATTTTACTTAAAATCAAACCCAAAAAATGTAATCTTATGCTTTTCTTTTATAATCATGCAAACAACTCCAAAGTATTCTTTTTTACATTGCATATCTTTTTTAGGCAACCAAACATCCCATTGGTGTCTAAAGGTTTTCGTTTAAATATATCAAAAACCGAATATATGAACTATAATTTTAATATAGTAATAGATCTCATGGTAGATTTGTGACATTGAGTAATCAAGTCATTAAAATGGCTACACATTTTAGATATCTTAGGTTTCTTATTCAAAGTGACGGCGAAATAGATGAGGATATTATTTGTTGAATTCAATTTGAATGATTGAAGTAGTGGAATGCACCGAACCTGCTGTGTAATAGAAAAATACATCTCAAACTTAATGAAAAATTTTATAAGATGATAGTGAGACGTTAAATTCTTTATATCACAGAATGTTGCCATTAAAAAAGAAGCATAAAATTAAATTAAGTGTTGTAGAGATGATGATGCTCATGTGGATGAGTGACTTTAAAATTAGAGTCAAAATGTGAAATGAGTATATACATGAAAAGATTAGAGTAGCTCCAATGGCAAATAAGATTAGAGAGAGTTACCTTAGATTGTTTGGTCACATAAAAATTTCAAACCTTCTGATGACCTGTTTAGGAGTGTAAATGTATTAAATATGGCCAATCTTAAGAAAGGTAGAGGCAGATCTAAAAAGGCTTAGTTATAAAGTATTATAAATAACATTTTTTGTTAGATTTAGATGAGAATTATAATAAGCGGGTTGAGAATAGGTACAATGAACTTATAAAAATCATCTTGATCAGTAGTTTTAAATTTATCATATGACAAATAAAACTAGGAAGTAAATTTATTTATAAACTTAGAAAATATTATTGATAGCCAGAAAAGAAAAACAACAAATTTTAATTATAAAAAATATAATTGAATAATTTGTGAATTTATAGTAATTTAAGCTTAACAAAAAAATGGTATGTAAAAACTAAATAAAAAATAAATTAATATTTTAAATATTGAAAATATTATGAAGAAATAGAAAATGATAAGATAAATAAAATAATTAGAAAAATGTAAGCACACTTTTAGTGAGCAGAAAATAATCTTATCATTAAAATAAATTAATGCTTCTACTGTATTTAATTTTCGCTTATAAATCATACATAATTATTGATAGTTACAAAAAATTTCAATTGTTTATATCCATTGAGTAAACTATATCGAATTAATCGACCAGCTCAAATGGTGAACCGGCCTTCGACCAGTTCAATCCACATTCAAACTGATTTTGTATTGTATTTATTTTTTTTAATTAAGTTTAATTAAATTTAAATATGTGTTAGTATTTTAAGTTTTCGTTTGGGACAGCTTTTTTACTGCTTCTTAAAGCAACTTTTTGATAAGGAAAACTGATACATACTTGAGCTTATGTATAAACCGGCTCAAGTATTAAAAAAAAAAACAAAAATAAATAAATAAATAAATTTTTTTAAAAAAATGTATAATCCGGCTCACTTATTGTGTGGCTGCTCCACTTACACTGCCCTTTCCTGTATGATTTGATTCTCATCATATGATTCCCGCTGTAGCATCAGGACGGTTGGTCTCTAACCAACCGCTCAATATATACTCATGTATTATATGAGGAAATGAGATATAGATGAACAGTAAAATTTCAGCACTCACATCCTTAACCTCTTTATTTCTTCTTGCTCTCTATTTTGAATCAATGCAGATAGTTGTTGTTCAAATCAACATGGTATAAGAGCGCTAGGTTTCTTTTTTCCTTTCGCCATGGCTACTTCAGCAACTTCCTCACCATCTGCTACATCGGATGCAGTCATCGCGTCCCTGAATGTCAGTATTCCCCCTCAACTCAATTTTTTTATGGCAAACATCAAGACCATGGTGACAGTTCAGCTGACCACCAATAATCATCTAATATGAAAATCTCAACTCCTAAAGTTGTTTGCAGCTAACAACTATGAAGGCCGCCTTACCGGCACCATTGCCAAACCTCCAAATCATATTCTTTCCTTTGATGGTTCAGTCAGTATAAACCCTCTTTTTACAACGTGGATGCTCATTGATTAACACCTAGGATCGGCCATTTACTCCACATTCTCTACTTATTACCATATATACTCAACCTTGAATCCACACATCAAATTTGGACAACTCTAGAACTCCGACTGCAATCCACACACCAATCTAGACTTCTCTAACTCAAGAATGAGTTGCATTAGCTACAACTCGGAGATAAAATGATGTTCCAGTACCTTACTGATATCAAAGCCAAGGTCGATGCCATAGCAGCTGCTGGCTCCTCCATTAGCACTGAAGACATTATACTTTATATGCTCAATGGTCTCCCATCCACCTATCAGTCATTTAAAGCTATTATTCGCAATCAGCTGCAATCAATCACACTGGATGACTTCTACGCTTTGCTATGTAGTGAAGAACTTCACATTTCATCTGATACTGGTCGAGAGATTTCTACAACTCCTACAACAAACTCCAACTATGTTTTAATCGCAATTCATGGATCTTTTTGTGGAAGATCATCTTTCACATCCAACTATCGTGGTCGTCAATCCCCTGGTCGTGGCTCTGCTCAATCTGCAGCAGGACGCACTTATGTTACTCGTGGAGGACGTCGAACTTGTCCAGCCATAAAATGTTTGATTTGAGGGAAATATGGGCACTACCATCGTGTGCTGGTACAAACATGATTCTGCTTACAATACAACACCACAAGCCTATGTTACAACTGATACTTCACAAATTGTTGATTGGTTTTTGGATTCAGGTGCTACTGAGCATCTCACTGCAAACCCGGCTCAATTACAAAATACACATCCATATAATGGATCATCTCAAGTTCAAGTAGGTAATGGCTAGCAACTTCCTATAGCCAATACAAGTCAAGGTTTGCTCCCCACTCCGCTCTATAAGCTTCATTTACCCAAAATTCTTAATGTACCCAACCTCTCCCACAATTTGCTTTCTACACAAGCTTACTAATGACAATTCTTGTTTTGTTCTTCTTGATGCCCATGGTTTTGCTATCAAGGATTATCGGACCAACAAGTTACTTCTCCAAGGACCCAATCATCTTGGTCTCTACCCAATTAAGCTTCATCATTCTCAATCGCTGCCTTCTTCCACTACGGCATTAGTTGCTCTTCCTCATTCAAAGTCTCTATGGCATCAACGACTTGGGCATCCATCCATTTTCCACCCAACGACTTTTATCTATCGTGTTACCTATTAGTTCTAGTTCTGCGTCTACTCTTTGTAATGCTTGTGATAAAGCTAAATGTATTAGGTTATCTTTTTATTTGTCTAGCTCTATGTCTACACAATGCTTAGAACTCATCCATAGTGATGCATGGGGTCCTTCCCCCACTTTATTAATGCAATCTTATCGTTTCTATGTTATCATTATTGATGACTATAGTCACTATTCTTGGTTGTATCCTCTTCATCATAAATCAGATGTATTCTCCAAATTTTTGCACTTACAAAATCTTATGGAAAAACAATTTAAAAACTCTATAAAAACATTACGTACTAACGGAGGAGGTGAATATCTAAATAAACAATTTTCAAACAAATTTACTCAATTGTGGTATCATTCATCAACTATCCTGCCCTTACACTCCCCAACAAAATGGGGTCGCCGAACATAAGCATAGATATCTACTTGAAACAATGTGGGCATTGCTCTTTAACGCCATTATACCATCAAAATTTTGGGTTGACACTCTCTTTACTGCGGTTTATCTAATTAACCGCTTACCTACCTAAACCACCCATAATATTTCACTGTATGAGCTCTTATATACAATCATTCCCCAAATTATGCTCATCCACACGTGTTTGGATGTCTATGTTATCCATGGTTTCCTACTCAGTTGCATCACAAACTTTCTCCTCGCTCTACCCCTTGCATTTTCCTTAGTTATGCTCCTCAAGCCAAAGGTTACAAATGTCTTGATCTGAACTCAAACAAAGTCTACATCTTAAGACATGTTCACTTTCATGAAAATATTTTCCCTATTCAGACATCTTCCACTACAACCACTTGTCCTCCTACAAAACATCCTACCAACTTTCTACCATCTACTCTTGTGCCCGTCTCCTCTATAATGCCCTCAACTGATAAAACTATTCCACAAAATTCAGAACTCTCACCATCAAATGACCCTTCTCCTATGTATCACTCTGTAGATTCTATTCCCAGCACTTCCCATACTACCCAACCACCAAATACTAATTATGTTACTAGCCTTCCCACTCATACCACACTACCCAGGCATTCCATGGTTACAAGAGCACAAACAGGCAATCTTAAACCAAGACAAATACTTGACCTGCATAACATTATCATACCTACCAATCCCACGGGGTTTACGAAAGCAATCAGCACTTAGCTTGGCGAGAAGCCATGAGTAATGAAATTGAAGCTCTTCAAAAATAGGGAAAGTGGATACTTGTTCCACCAACTTTAGATATTAATATATTAGGCTGTAAATGGATATTTAAAATAAAATTTCATGCAAATGGATCTATAGCTCTCTACAAGGCTCGACTTGTGGCTCAAGGGTTCAAGCAAGTGTATGATTTGGCTTACAATGAAACCCTTAGTCCATTAGCAAAACTTCTTACCATTTGTATCCTTTTAACTATTGCAGTGACAAACCGTTTGCCAATTCTACAATTAGATGTCTTTAATGCCTTCCTTCATGGACCTCTTCAAGAAGTTGTCTATATGAAGCAACCAGCGGGCTTCATCGATAAACTTCTTTCAAATCATATTTGTCTCTTAAAAAAAGCCATTTATGGTCTCAAACAGGCACCTCGACAGTGGTTTTTAACTTTTTCCTCCTATCTTATTCAGTATGGATTTCAGTCGAGCTCTGCAGATCCATCCCTATTGTTGTTTCATTACCATTCTTTGTAACCATACATTTTAGTATTCGTTGATGATATTTTACTCACAGGAAACTCTTCTAATGAGATAGATAAGTTGTTAGCTGCCTTACAATCTCACTTCTCCATGAGAATTTTGGACTGTGTAAATCATTTCCTTAGCTTGCAAGTTACATATACTTCTACTGGTATCCATCTAGCTCAATCAAAGTTTGTTTCAAATATTTTACATAAAGCAACTATGGTGGATTGCAGACCAGTTAGTACCCCTCTTCCCACCAAGCTTATTCTCAAATATATACCAGGTTCAGCATATGAACGCCTTGAACACTACTGGCAAATTACTGGTGCTCTTCAATACCTAATGATTACCTGCCCAGACCTTCTGTATGCTATTAATTATCTATGTCAGCATATGCACAGTCCACTTCAGTCGCACTATCAACTCCTCAAACGTGTTCTACGCTATGTGAAAGGCACATTATCGCTTGGGTTACCAATTCAACCTTCCTCCCTGGTGCTGACAGGCTTCGTTGATTTAGACTGGGCAACATATCACATTGATCACCATTTAATCACAGGCTACTATACCTTTCTTGACAACACGCTCATATCTTGGACTGTTAGGAAGCAATCTTCTATCGCTCGTTCATCCACAGAAGCAGAGTATATAGCATTATCCATTGTTGCATGTGATATCATTTAGCTCCATCAACTTCTGTCAGAATTTCAAATTCCTCAAACTGCACCAACCAAACTCTATTGTAAAAATGTCTCAGCTTTCGCCTTGGCGAATAATCCAATTTTTATGCCAGAACTAAGCACATTAAGAATGATGTTCACTTCATACGAGATTATATTCGCTCTCAATACATTTCGGTGCACCATATTTGTTCTCAAGATCAACTTGCTGACCTCTTCACCAAATCTCTTAGTGTTGCTCATCATTCTCAATTAAGGAACAATATAATAATACAATCACCTATTGTTACCTTGAGGGAGGCTGATAAGGAAAACTAATACATACTTGAGCTTATGTATAAGCCGGCTCACTTATTATGTGGCTGCTCCACTTACACTGCCCTTTCCTGTACGATTTGATTCTCATTGTATGATTCTTACTGTAGCATCAGGATGGTTGGTCTCTAACCAACCGCTCAATATATACTCATGTATTATCTGAGGAAATGAGATAGATATGAACAGTAAAGTCTCAGCACTCTCATCCTTAACCTCTTTATTTCTTCTTGCTCTTTGTTTTGAATCAATGCAGGTAGCTGTCGTTCAAATCAACACTTTTTAGTGTAAAAATTTTAATTTTTATACTACAAAGCTACTTTAAGAAGCAGTAAGAAAGTCGACCCAAACAAAGCCTAAATTTCCACTATGTTATTCATCTTTTGAAAATACAATATACTATCACTTTTAAGGTTTTAGAGGAATATTTAAGAACTATGTCAATAATTTCTATTGGAATGAAGTTTCCCTTGCCATGCATATATCTATGTCCAAGTTTTTCTTCCAAAAAAAAAAACATTAAGAAATGACGTTCCACTAGTTACAATCCTTCGTATGCTTTTGGAAATGCTTCATTGCCAACTTTATTGCCCTTTGAACAATAATGACAACAAGTTTTTTTCCCACTATGTGGAGTCAACTACATGAATCTTTTTTCTCCATTGTGATCTATTAAGAGCAAATTTTCATTTAAATCAAATAAAAAAAATGTTATTTCTAATATTTTCTATGTCCTTTTAGACCTTTATCTACCTTTCTAAAGATAAGCCGAATCTAACACATCCACTCTCCTAATTGGGTATTTGAAATTTAGGAAGCAAAAGAACCAAGAGCTCCATTCATTCAACCATGCTTACAAGCAACTGCAATCAGTTTTTATGTTAACATAAAGCTGAAATTAATACATAGTTTGTTATACATAAAAGATGAAGATTGAGAAGGTAAATCAACCAACGGTTGAGTAGGAGATTCTGAAAAAGGTAGTGAGCTAATGAGTAGTACTGGTGGAGATGCACACCATAATATCAACATATGATATAGCTTATCACTTTAATCTTATCTCTTATCATCCCCCCTCAAGTTGACAATATTTTTTCGAATTGTTATCTTTTGTCTGAGTTGAGAAAATCTAGTTGAGGAGAGAGGTTTGGAGAAGATATCAACCGATTGATCTTGAGAGGAAATGTGATGAACTATAATATGCTGGAATTTGATGCAATCATAAAAAAATGGAAATCTATTTCAATTTGTTTAATGCAAGCATGAAATACCTAATCATTAGCCAATGCTAGCTTAGAGATATTATCACAAAAGAGCTTTGTTGGATGCAGTTGAGAAATTTAAATTTCAAGTAGTAGTCTTCTTAACCAAATGATATCAATGGTAGCAGTTACTAAGGCACGATACTTCTTAACACACTAAAAAATATGTGTACTCAAATAGGCACAATAACAAGTAAAAGAACGACGATCTGTTGGATCTATAGCCCACTAGGAATAGCATATACATGTAAGGTGAGAGTTGTCCTAAATATAGGCAGCCCAAAGTTTGTTGTACCGCAAAAATATCAGAGAATTTGTTTTAGCAACTGAAAGTGGATAATAAAAGTTTTTTGCATGTGCCGGCATAAGAAATTTGTAGCAAATAGAATGTATAGAGGAGTGATAGTTAGATTATGTACACTACAGAAAAACATTGGTATACCGACAAAATTACATCCATCGATATCAGCGGCATCGTAATCGGCGGATATTATGCCATTAACTTAGTGGTGGATTTTCTAGCGGAAAACTCGTCGACAAGGCCATCAAATTTTATAAAATCAGTGGTAATTTCCAACAAAAAATGCACCGAAAATTACTGGAGAAACTTCAAGCGGTAAATCCACCGGCTTGTTGAAACCCGACGAAATAATTTTGACAAAATTTCCAAAGAAATATTTTCAACAGTAAATCCGAGAAAAATTCGCCAGAGAAGACCCTATTTCCCTTCTGCCGTCGTCATCCTTCTCATTTCACTCCTGCTCGTTTTGATTCGCTCCAACTTACATTAGTTGTCTCCAACCAAACACCGCCTCTATCGCCTTTGCCTACACCGCTCCATCGCCCAACGTTCACCATCTCAGTCGCCAAAAATTTTCCGTAAGTTTATCTTGGTTAGCCCTTTTTTTTTTGTTTAGTCATGGATGTTCTCAGTAGACATTTGTAAGAGATTGTATGAAAGTTTAATATTTTAGATGTCATGTTTAAATTGCTTAATCTTGTATTTACTTTTATAGGATGATTATACACTGCTTCGAGAGAGCAAGTGAGGGATCTTTTGGGGGATCAACAGAATATTCTGACTACCGCGCTTGGTCGGAAGTGATAAATGGAATGTAGAAAGGTTCATCTTCTCAGCAAGTAACTAGGAGTCATTGTATATCCAATTGGTAGCTGCCCTTACAACCTAGCTAGAGCAAGTAAGGAAATCACAAGTTGACATGCAAATGCAGCAAACTCAATTGTTGGATGACCTACAAAAATTGAAGGAGAAGTTCAGTAGAAAGTAGGCAACATCAGCAGAGGAAGAGACTGATTCTGATTATATTTTGTTATTACTAGACATTTGATTTATATATTGGACATTTCATTTGTATGCTTGTTTATTTTATTTTCTAATTTTAATAATACAACGAACGAATATTTAGGTTTAATTTTAATATGTTTGGTGAATGTTCAATAAACTTGGAATGATCAAATCTGTTATTACATACATGTAGCATGCCTTTATGTTCAATGTCTGAATGAATATTATATATGTATATGTTTATGCAGGTATGTTTTGTTATAGAAAATATAAGAGAGAGTGCTTTTTTTTTTTTTGCTATAAATTTTTTGTTGATTTCTAGCAGAATAATCGTTGGAAATGAAGATATGACAAAAATGTATCGTATTTCTAGTAGAAAATTCCACAAGAAGTTTCGTTGGATAAATCACTAGTAAGAGTGTCGTAAATGATGAATATTGCTGCACAATTCCTCCTGAATTCTATAGGTAAATTCGCCAGAAATATTTTCGGTGGAAAAATTCCTTCATAACAAGGTTTTTGACGTGCGTTTTACCTTCGACTTCATTTCCTCCAGAAATATGCCAAAAATGCATATTTTCTAGCAAAATTTTGTGATTTCCAACGGATTTTGGCCGCCGGTAATAAGAGATTTTTTGTAGTGGTAATGATCCAACAAGTTGATGACACAATTTAGGTTGAGAATAAAGTTCAAATTATGCATCAAGTTTAGGTAATTTAGACAGAAATGGTGTAAGAATGGGTTTGCAATTTTTCCATACCAGCTTTGATAAGGAGTTCAGCGGTATACTGAGCTTGATTAAGATGTATTCTAGATTTGATGTTACTTGAATTCTCAAAAAATAAACCATAGGTATGAGGTTTCTCAAGAGAAACTAAGAATACAAATCCTTAAATAGAACATCGATTGCTGGAGCATTGTGAGTAAATTATCATCAAAATAAATGAGTATATAAAGAGAGACTGATCCATGATGATATAACATTAATGATGACTCAATAGTACTAGTTATAAACCCATAGCATATCAAGTGGGATGAAATGTATCAAACCATTGACGAGGAGCCTGCTTGAGACCATAAAGTGCTTTCTTGAGTAGGCAAATGATTATGAAATTGAGAGTTAAAAACTCGAAGGCTGTAAAATGTATACTTTTTCATCAAGCTTGCCATATATAAATGCATTGGAAAGATCAAGTTGAAGTATGTGCCATTTGTAGGTGGTTTGTAGCAATAGTGAAGAAAATACAAATGACAGAAAAAATTGGCAATTAGACTAAATGTATTATTATAATCTAAGCCAAGTTCTTATTTAAAACCTGATGCACAAGATGTGCTTTATACCAAGCAATAGAGCCATTCGAGTTATATTTCGTTCTAAATAGCCACTTATATCCTAAAACATTTTGATTAGGTGTGGGAGGGACTAAAATCTCGGAGCCATGACTTTGGAAGCTTCAAATTCTACACTAATGGCTTTTGTCAAAACCTCATGCTTGATGGCTTGAGAATAAGAGAAAGGAGCTGTAAGAATGGTGATACACTAAAGGTCAAAAATAGGTTTGGGTTTAAGGTTGCCTATTTTTGATATTGTAACCATAACATGGTGTAATGGAGTAGGTAGTGGAGAAGGTGAAATAGAGTTAGGTGTTGAAATATGAGAATAGGACTGTGGGATGACTAAGAACTGAAATGGATGTTATAGGAGACAAAGAAGCATATATAGCCAAGCAAATATGAGAGACAGGTGGTTGAAGGCAATATGAGGGAGCTAAGGTAGTTGGTGGTATAGTAAGTGGTGTAGAAGGAGAACTGGGAAGAATGGAAATAGTGTTGTATGGGAAAATAAATTCATGAAAGTGAACATGGTGAGAGAAATAAATGCACCCAATAGAGATATTTAGACATTTGTAACCTTTAGGAGACTCATCATAGCTGAAAAATATGTATGGGGAAGATCTAGGTTGAAGTTTATAAAAACATTTAATGGAAAACCAAGGGTAGCATAAGCAGCCAAAGTTCCCTAATTTGATATTGAAGTTGACAATATCAGACGTGAAGATAGATTAAAAAATTGATTTGTCTTTGAAAACGGGTAGTCGTGTCATGAGTAAGCCCATATAAAGAGTTTAGCTGCATACCTAAAGAGTAACATTGGCTTTAGGTGGGCCGCTACTTTATTTTTAGGAATTGATATAACTTGATGACAACAGAAATTTCATAGAGCTTTAAAAATGCTCCCAAGAGTTCATGTTCATATCCAAAGATCACATTATTAGAGTTCTTAAAGCACAAAAAAAAAAAAAAAAAAAAAAAAAGACTCTTTAATAAATGCACTATTGTAATGAATATAATAATTATTTTGGCTAAAAAAAATTTTAAAGAATCATTGAGCAAGCTCTTGAATACAACTCTAACATTAATTTTCTATCCAATTATTGAAGTTGAATTCCTCTTCGTTGATGAGAGCTTCAGCAATGATAGTAATTGGCATGCAAGGGTATGAACTAATAGAAAATTTAATATCAATTTTTAATGCAATTAAGCTTAAAACCCTATTTCTTACCTGTATTATAACTTGTAACCTAAATTTTAATGCAATTAAGCTTAAAACCCTCATCATTTCTAAGAAATTGAAAAAAAATATAGCAGCACCTATCTGTATTAGTTCCTATCCAGTGGTTGTGGTGTAAAGTACTGCAAATGTAAGGATTTTAATAATTCGGAGTAAAATATATATGATGTAAATCATTCTAATTCATTTTTGATATAAATCAAACTCGCTCAATTTTGAACAAAAACGCATTACATCTTAAACAAGCTTGTTTGACTGACTCTGACTACCACCATCACCACTCGCTACCACCCTCCAACCACTACTACCAACAACACCCTCTACTGCCTCTGTCACCCGCTGCTGGCCATCATTTTTATACTTTACATTAATTTTACTTAAAACCAAAAAAAAAAAAAATCATTCAACTAAATTTACTTTACACTTATCCAAACTCCTCCAAAATAATCATTTTACAGTACATTTCTTTTGCACTGTATTTCTTTTTTAATCAACCAAAAAGCCCCCAAATGCTGCTCCTCTAGTTGCCCAGAATCTACATGCAAGGATTGGCTTGTCACAACCAATTATCTAATAACAGACAATAGACAAATCAGATAAATAACGAAAACAAACATCTTCCCATAATAAAACATCTCTTAAGTTACGAAAATAATCAAAACATAAGTCATTATGGGTGAAACTCCCCACATGAATACAAACTATAGTGGACACCAAAACTTAGGCCACCGCCTCTCAACTGTAAAGACAAATCTCCAGTTCAGGTAGAGAAAATTTATTCAAGCATATCTAATGACCAGAATTATAAGAATCACAATAGCATATTACAAATAGATAAAAGTCGAGATTAAATTTACTTGTCAACCACTTCAATGAGGGTGGTCTCATAGTCAGCGGGAGCTTGGAAGCCATGGAAGTTTATTACGGTAGCAGCAACATTGGCAAGGCCACCACTAGGCACATCGCTCCTGAAACGAGCACCTGGACTCAAGCCAGGGCCTCCAATGGCAATGGGAACCTGCAGAGATTTTTTCCAAGCAGAGAGATCACTCAATGCAGCAAAACAATTGGAAGAATAAAAAATTCATCATATGATTTAGATGTTATACATATCTAACACCTAAATCTTTATATTTATTTACATTTCACTCAAATCTCTAAATTACATAAAAAATATCAGTAATATCTCAAATGATAATTAAATAAAGAGGTAAGGGATTTTGTGATGTACATGCAAATTTCCCTAAATTATGCCCATCAATTGGTACTTCAGAAATTCAATGCTACTACCTAATGATGCATAAATAATATTCAGATGCTTTCACAATTTATATTAAGGCCTCATTTGAGAGGGATGTTTTTTACCCTTTTCTGTTTAGAAACAGCGAAATTAGTTTTTTTGTCGTTGTAGAAATGCTTTTTAGGGAACTTCATTTTTCTGTTGTTTTGAGAAACTTTTTGATATTTGCTTCTCTATTAGAAAACTCCATTTTCTTAACCAATATTTCTAAAATTATCTTTTACAAAAGGTACTGGATAACCAAACAAAGCCTAAGTTAGTAAGTATCCTACAAAAAAGAGGTTACTATTACAATTAATAGTGAACATTAGCTAATTAACCCATTATTTTGTTTCATTTGATTTAAAAGCTACCAGTACTAGTGCCATTTACATCAAATTCATACAACATCCCCAAATTCCCCATTGGCAAAACCACATGCAGGCACTAACAAACGTAGTAAGTCATATAAGTGAACATAAATGGTGTTAATCCAGCAAGTAAATAAATATTCATCATATGCCTACCGGCTGCAGGGTATGAGAAGTGAGAACTTGAATTTTCCCTTCTTTGTCAAGAAGTGGTTTCCCAGATTTATTCCTTTTCACCATGTCCTCAGCATTGCCATGATCTGCAGTGACAACATAGATGCCACCCACTTGCTCAATGGCATCAAGAATCATCTGGAAGAAAAAATTAAGGGATGAAAAAAAAAAAAAAAAACGAGTTCTTAGTGTTTGAGATGCTGCCATCCAAAAAAGAAATTGACTGTTACATAAGCTTAACCATAAATGAAAAATTACTTGCAAAAAGATTAGAAGGATTAAAAACCCTTATTTATGGGATGATTATCACATTAAACTAAGTGGAAAATTATGAATATAAAGTTTCATTTTACAACACATTTAAAAATCTTGAGAAACAGGTTATCTTTAAATCTAGTGAACTCTAGAAAAATTAACAAATTTTGATTTAACTCCGTAAATTTCACAGGCGTAACCCTTATAATTTAAAAAATCTCATAAAATTACTAGGTTTCAACTAGATAATATTAGCAGTTTGATGCAATCTTATGAAATTGCCAGGTTTTCGCATAACCATAATAAATTACTAGGCTTGGTGCATCCAGAGTAATTTACAAATAACCAAGTTAACAGAGTTCAACACCACCACCAACAACAACAACAATATTAAGCTTTTATCCCACTACGTGGGGTCGGCTACATGAATCCTTTTTCTCCATTGTGTCCTATTAAAAGTCAAATTCTCGTTTAAATCTAATAAAGAAAGGTCATTCCTAATATTTTCCAACCAAGTCTTTTTAGGTCTACCCCTACCTTTCTTAACATAAGTCAAATCTAATACCTCTACTCTCCTAACCGGGTCATCGGAAGGCCGCCGTTTTATGTGACCAAACCATCTAAGGCGACTCTCTCTAATCTTATCTTCTACTGGAGCTACTCCAACCTTTTCACATATACTACCCGAATACCAAAGTTTAAATCCTAAACTATCAATTTCCTTAGCCTTCTCACCAACCCATTTAGTTTCCTGAATGTACAAAATATTTAACTTCCTATTGAATCATAATATCTAATAATTCCATTAATTTTCCTGTAAGGAAATCAATATTCCAAGTTCCTATCCTAATTATAGTTTCATGGACTAGCTTCTTTGCCCACATCTGTCCTTGATGTGGGAACCCTTGCCTATTTAATAGAGTTCAACACCCTCGTCATAAAATGATTAGTGCTTAACAAAACCTTATTTTAGCAGGGCTCGATGCAACCCTAGCAAGTCCACCAAGATTTGATAAAATATTTGAGTTTGATGACAACTTTTTGACAACTAAATTTTCTTGATCAACTAAATTTCAAGGCTTAAAGCAAACCTTCTCCAATTTAGGTAACCTAAATTTTCTTGATCAATCTAAGAAAATTAACTCAATCGACCAAGAAAACTCGCTCAATAGTCAACCTCTAAAACAAAAATTTGTCAGCAAGAGAAATACCACCAATGATATCATATACATAGGACCATGCACTGCTGGCTCGAACCCGCGGAGAGCCATTAGAGATTATGCTACCAGTTCAGAGTTATTAGGGACATTAACTGATGAGATGGAAATGATATTGAAACCTTTGGAGCTTATGGAGGTTCGTTAGAAAGCAGATGGAGCTACAAAAGTCCTGATCAAATGGAAGAACCTCCCTGACTTCGAGGCCACGTGGGAGCCATACAAGCGGATGAAACGACAGTTTCTTGACTTCCACCTTGATGACAAGGTGGTTCTTTGGGAGGGCGGTAATGTTAGACTGGTCCCCTATGGACCGGTCCAGTCCCTTGGGTCAGTTCAGTTTGTTTACAGCAGGAGGGGGCCGACGACATCTAGGAGAGAGGAGGGGGTGGGGTCCACTTGATATTCAAATTCAATCTTGGAGCCAAAAGGGGGGCGGCAAGGGCAATTAGGTCCTTTTGTATTAATTTTGAATTTCATGCATTAAGGGGGAACAGCTGGGGTTAGTAGGGTCATGTGAAATTTTCTAAAAGTTCTCTTGGGTTTCTCTTGTGGCTAGGGCTCTAGATTGTTTTCTAGAGATTAAGAGAGTGTGATTCTCCTCTCGAATAGAGGATCTCTTGTATCTATGTTGTTTTTCTTGCATCTATCATTAATATCAAATATTTTGGTGTGATCTCTCTCAAGTTTTTTCTCTGTTTTCTCTGTTTTTCTTCTATTGGCAGCTGTTTTCCTGTTGTAAACAGCTGTTTGACTGTTGTTTTCTACTGATTTGGGCTAGGAAATTCAAATATTTCCTGTCAAATTGGTATCAGAGCAAGCCTTGGGACCAATCGTGGGCTGTTTTTGACAAATTTCATCAGCTGAAATTTGTACCGGCGAAGAGGAAATTACTGAATTTTTTTAGATCTAGAGATCTTCTAAAAAATTTCAAGCCGTAGGAGATGGTGGCTAAGAAAGTGGAAGCTTTGGAGGAGAGGCTTGAAGGAGAGATGAATCAAATCAAGGAAGCCGTGGAGGAAAGAATTTCTTCCATGGAAGGGCAAGTGGCCGATCTACGGGATATGATGAAGAAGATGTTGGAGTTTCAAACTCAATCGGCGGCGTCTGATGCAAAAGGGCCCGAAGCGAAAAACACCAACTCTGAAATCCATCGGGAGGAAGAGGAAGTGGAAATCGTGGAGGGGAGTAGAAGAAGGCCTCATCTGGAGCCTTTCCAGAGGGAGGAGAGAGGAGGAAGATATGGGAAAAGGCAAGGCTATGGAGGCGTGGAACCAAGAGGTGCTGGTTGGGAGCACCATGGGGGTTATTATGGACGTCGGGGAGCTGTTTTTGAAGATCAGAGAGGGGATCTTGAAGGGGGATGGGGGCATGGTAGAGCAAGGGAAGATCGGGAGACATGGGGGGCCCAGGCACATGGGAGAGGGGAAATTATGGAGTATTAAAGGGAAATGGTGGGGATCAGAAGGTAAGGAAATTAAAAATGCCCATTATTGAAGGGGAGGACGCCTATGGGTGGATTTACAAGGTGGAGAGGTACTTTGCCGTTAACGGCTTAACGGAGGAGGAGAAATTATCGGTAGCATGCTTATGTATGGAAGGGAAGGCACTCTCTTGGTACCAATGGAGAGATCAGAGGAGATCTATCCAGAGCTGGAAAGAATTCAAGGACAGTTTGATAGAGCGTTTCCAAACCGACCGGGGAGCAGACTTCTACGAGCAGCTCTTTGCCCTAGTGCAGGAGGGGTCTGTGGCGGACTACCGAGAGAGATTTGAGCATCTGGCCAGCAGGGTAGAGCGTTTGTCCGATACTGTGCTAGAGGGGAACTTCATAAAGGTGTTAAAGGCAGAGACTAGAGCAGCGGTGAAGGTCCTGATGCCCAGAGAACTGGGGGAGGCCATGAAGCTTGTACAACTGGTCGAAAATCAAAAGAATCTGGAGAAGGGAGCTAGGAATAGCAGCTCAAGAGGCACTTACAGGTAGACAACTACCCACCTAGCCTCCAAGGGAGCGTCCACATGAGGGATGAAAGAAGTTCCGAAGGAAAAAAAAACAACAGGAGGAAATGGGGGGCAGTTCAAGAAGCTTACTGAGAAGGAAATGCAATAGAAGAGAACAAAAGGGTTGTGTTTCCGATGCGATGAAAAATACATGCCAGGGCATAAGTGCAAGGATTGAACTCTTCAAGTTCTCCTCACTTGTGAAGATGAGGAAGACAAAGAGGGAGGAGGGAGCGGTTCTTAGGTGGAGGAGGAAAAGCTGCATCTAGATGTGGCAGAAGTCTCTCTTAACTCCGTAGTGGGATTCACTCCGAGTCACACTATGAAGGTGAATGGAGAGATAGCTGACCGTGAAGTTGTGGTGTTGATCGATAGTGGGGCAACCCACAATTTCATTTCCACCCAGATTGTGGAGCTGCTGGGGATGGAGTTAGTAGATACATAAGGCTATGGGGTGATGATGAGCATGGGGAAAGTAGAAATGGGAAGAGGAGTCTGTAGAGGGGTGGTGCTGAAGATCCAAGGTATCCAAGTGAAGGAAGACTTCCTTCCCCTAAAATTGGGGAGTATGGATGTCATTCTACGGATGAAATGGTTGCAGACCTTGAGGGAAACCAAGATCAATTAGGGTACTCTAAGGATGGAATTGGTGAAGGGAGGAAGGAAGAGGGTGATTCAAGGTGATGCGGGGCTGACCAAGGAAGGGGTTTCTCTCAAATCCCTAATCAAGACAACTCAGGAGGAGGGGCGGAGGCTATTTGGTGGAATTACACAGATTGGAGGGAGTGAGTTTGGAGGAAAGGGGAGACATACCCCTCTCTGTACAGCCTTTGATCCAGGAATTCTATGAGGTTTTTCAACAACCTCTAGGGTTGCCACCACCCAGGGAGTAGGAGCATGCCATCACATTGAGGGAGGGAGTATCACCTGTCAGCGTACGACCTTACCGTTACCCTCAGTTTCAGAAAGACGAATAGAAAAGCTGATTAGAGAAATGATGGAAGCAGGGATCATCAGGCCCAACACTAGCCCGTTGTCTAGTCCTGTTTTATTGGTGAAGAAGAAGGATGGCAGCTGGCAGTTCTGTGTAGACTACTGCGCACTCAACAAGGAAACTGTACCTGATAAGTTTCGTATATCAGTTATTGACGAGCTGTTAGATGAATTGAGTGGAATAGTGATCTTCAGCAAGATCGACTTGAAACCAGGATATCATCATATTCGAATGAAGAAAGAAGATGTGCCCAAGACCGCTTTTAGGACTCATGAGAGCCACTATGAGTTCCTAGTGATGCCCTTTGGCCTCACCAATGCCCCAGCCACGTTCCAGGCACTCATGAATAAGATCTTCAAACAGTATCACAGGCGATTTGTTTTAGTATTCTTCGATGACATCCTAGTGTATAGCAAAACAGAGGAGCATTGTGGGCATTTGAAGAAGGTGTTAGAGGTTCTCCAGGAGCACCAGTTGAGGGACAACTTGAAGAAGTGCTGCTTCGCACAAGCCAGTGTGGAGTACTTGGGGCACGTGGTATCCAAGGAAGGGGCAGCAGCAGATAAGTCCAAAATTGAAGCCATGTTAAAGTGGTCACTGCCTAAAAATCTGAAGGAGTTGAGGGGATTCCTAGGGCTTACAGGGTACTACAAAAGATTTGTGAATGGATACAGCACTATAGCATGGTCACTCACTGAGCAGTTGAAGAAAGATGGGTTTCTATGGGAGGAGGCAGCCACGATAGCATTTGAGAAGTTGAAGAAAGTTATGACCACAGTCCCGGTCTTAGCTTTGCCGGATTTTACTCAGGTCTTCATAGTAGAGACAGATGCATCGGGGTATAAATTAGGAGCAGTGCTGATGCAGTCACATGCCCATTGCCTCTTTCAGTTAGGTGTTGAATGCCAGAGCCAGGCTGAAATATGTCTATGAGAGGGAATTAATGGCAATCATTTTGGCCATCTAAAAGTGGCGCCCCTACTTACTCGGGAGACATTTCATGGCCAGGACTGACCAACAGAGCCTGAAATATTTGCTAGAACAACGCATGGTGACAGAGGAGCATCAGAGGTGGCTATCCAAACTGCTGGGATATGATTTTGAGATTCAGTACAGGCCAGGGGTAGAAAATAAGACAGCAGATGCCTTGTCCAGATGCATGGGGGAGCTGCATACAATGGTTGTATCAGTCCCAATGATGCTAGATTGGGAAGCCATCAAGGATGAGAGTGTCAGGGTGAGGAACTAGGCAAGATCAGAGCTGGCTTACTAAAGGAAGAGGGCAGCTATCCAGGGTACTCATTGGAGGGGGAAGGATTGTTGTACCAGGGGAGGTTTGTGTTGCCCAGAACATCAATTCACATTCCACATTTGCTCCAGGAGTTCCATGGGACTGCAGTGGAAGGTCATTCAGGAGTGCTAAAGATCTTCAAAAGACTGGCAGCAAAGCTGTACTAGAAAGGTATGCATAAGGATGTGGAAGATATGGTATCCAGATGCGAGGTTTGTCAAAGGAATAAGTATCTAGCTATGTCACCAAGGGGGTTACGGCTTTACCAGGTCAAGTCTAGGAGGAGGTATCTATGGCTTCATTGATGGGCTACCCCGCTCTAAGGGATTAACTGTAATTTTGGTGGTGGTGGATAGATTGAGCAAATATGCTCACTTCATTCCTCTACGTCATCCATACACTGTGGTGACAGTAGCATCAGCATTCATCAGGGAGATAGTCAGATTACACTGGGTGCCTGAAACGATAGTATCATACAGGATAAAGTGTTCCTCAGCCATTTATGAAAAGAATTGTTGAGACTGCAGGGGACTGTGCTGAAAAGGAGTACTGCTTACCACCGACAGACGGATGGTCAAACAGAAGTAATCAACCGGAGCTTGGAGACTATTTGAGATGCTTTGCGTCAGAGACACCCAAGCTATGGGCTAAATGGCTATCATGGGTTGAGTATTGGTACAATACCTCTTTTCATTCAGCTTCTCAGATGACCCCGTTCAAGATGTTGTACGGAAGGGATCCGCCCCACTTGGTGCATTTTGGGAGTAAGAATACTCCAATTTCTTCAGTAGAGTACTTGGAGGAGAGGGATAAGATACTTGAAGAGTTAAAAAGACATCTGTTCAGAGCTCAACAAATTATGAAGAAACAAGCTGATGGGCATCGGAAGGATATTCAGTTTCTATTGCACCGGCAACCGAAGTCCTCCCTAGAAGTTTGATACAAGCTTCTTGCGCCAATGATCTTACTACCATTTCCGAAGGAACTGGAGCTACTTTTCTTTTACATTTCCATTCTAGAGTTCCTATGTGTTTCCACGCCCTTTTCTTCATTTCTATTTAGATATCTAATTTACTTCAGTCAAAATACAGTGAATCTAAGACCTTCACAGACTGGAATTGACTTCAGGATACACCCACAATTGGGATAAGCACGAAAATGAAAGACCTGGTACCCCAAAAATTTGTATGCAAGATGAGCCTACAGGAGTGCAAATCCACCGAGCCACCAGGTTTGAGAATAAGGTGGGATCCTTGAATGTAGTGGCTGGTGAATCACTGATCAAAAAGCGGATTATCATTTTTCGAGTCGAGATCAGTGTTACTTCATTTTTTCTATTTAGTTAGAGTTCTATTTTCAGAATCTTGCTTGGGATACATTGACCCAAGATCTCCGGAACCACTAGCTAGGGAGTTCCCTATTTTCACTGGCTCCGATGAACTGTTCGGTGAATATCTTGGATAGAATTTCTTGGAATTTAGGTTTCTTCTTTGTTAAGTAGGTACGTAACCCAATGAGAAATTTCTTTACCCCCTTCCCCTATTTCAGCATTTCATTCTCTATTTGGCCTTAGAGAGGGAAGTTGTACCTCTAAAGGGCCATAGCACATGGTTTCCTAAAATCCGTTTTCCCGATCTAAATCGAACAGTTTTTACATGAAGAAGATTTTTTTCAATTTTTTTTACACCAACCCTCACGATTTGTAAGTACCTCAAATCAATGGTTTGGATGTAGATGAGGGAGAGGCAAGATGAATCTCTGAGGAGCAGGCTGCATTTGTTCAGAGGGTGTTTTTAAAACTCCGTCCAGACCGATAGAAAACGGTCGCCAACCGGAGGAATGAGAAGATTGCTCCAAGGTATTTCAGTCCTTATGAAGTGTTGGAGAAAATTGGAGCCGTGGCAATCATTTGAAGCAACCACCTACGGCGAAGATCCACTCCGTTTTCCATATATCCCAGCTGAGGAAAGCTAATGGAGATTATGCTACCAGTTCGGAGTTACCAGGGACATTAACTGATGAGGGGAGGGGGGTAAGGTCAATTAGGTCCTTTTGTATTAATTTTGAATTTCATGCATTAAGGGAGAAAAGTTCTTTTAGGTTTCTCTTGTGGCTAGGGCTTTAGATTGTTTTATAGAGATTGGGAGAGTGTGATCCTCCTCTCAAATAGAGGATCTCTTGTATCTCTGTTGTTTTTCTTGCATCTACCATTAATATCAAATATTTTGGTGTGATATCTCTCAAGTTTTCTCTCTGTTTTCCCTGTTTTTCTTCTGTTGGCGGCTGTTTTCCTGCTGTAAACAACAGTTTGGTTGTTGTTTTCTACTGATTTGGGCTAGGAAATACTTGATTTCTAGTTGTACATAGGTTTTGTTGTATTGAACATCTGTGGAGTAAGACTTTGGGCTTTAGCAAATCTCATATCTTGTTTTGAGCCATTTGAGGCAAAGCTTCACCTTTCCATTTTGATGATGTGAATGCATCGACTGGTCAGAGAATTGAGGTTGCTCATGTTAATGGACTAATTGTGTTTTGAAAGTGAGATCACACACTTCATTTTATAATGTAAGTTCTGCATAATCAATGTTTTACTTAAAAATAAATCTAAGGCTTCGTTTGGGATGACTTTTTTACGACTTCTTAAGAAGCTTTCTGGTACAAAAATTTAAAATTTTGTACTAAAAAGCTACTTTAAGAAACAGTAAGAAAGTCATCCCAAACAAAGCCTAAATCTTCTGCACGTTACAAGAAAAAGCGTTAAATCTTATAGTTAGTAGTACCTTTACAGCTACATCAGCAGCTTCACAAGCCACGGTGGTAGCCTCAATATCACCAGTATGCCCTACCATGTCACCATTCGGTATATTCACTCGTACCTATAGGAACAAGATAGTATAAGAAGAGGAAGATGACACTGAACTATTTTCTTCTTAGATCTAGTAATCTTTACCTGGTCAAACTTGCCGCTGAGAATAGCATCCCTTGCCTTCTCAGCAATTTCAAGTGCCTTCATTTTAGGTTGAACGTTAAAAGTGATCCCAACATCACTTGGAATTTCAACATACTCCTCCTTTGTTGAATCAAAGTATCCAGATCGATTTCCATTCCAGAAAAAGGTGACATGACCAAACTTCACTGTCTCGCTGTTGAAACAGCCAATGGGAAAACATAAAATTCAAGGAAAAACTGTGAAATATAATCACATCATATTTAACACACAAATCATCCATAAATAATTTCAGATACAAACTCAATGAAGAGATTAGATACAATACTCGGTTCCAGAAACTTAAAATTGTAATTGGAAGCATGTTTCAGAATAAGAAAGTTATATTCGTTGTAGTAGGAAATCTGAAGACCTGCCTGAACTGAGTTTAAATATCAACTTGTTTGGGCCAGTGGATTTGGTTGAATGGCTATTTTGTTAACTGTTATCATCTAAAACAACCAATTCAATTGATTTGAGAGTTATCTAGCAATACAATACTGTTGTTATTGTTGCTGCTGTTGTTTTTTTTTTCCTTTTCACTCTCTAATTAAATTAAAATCCTCATGGACAATTCATGTTAAATAGGTATCTAAAAATCTCGTCCAAACTCCAAAACAATAGAATGATAATGACACTAGATAAAAACTATGTAGTTAAATGGATTAATTTATTACTTATTCTGTTAATGCCTGCTCAAACAAGAGACAAATAAATGATGTTCAAGTTTAAACTAAATGACATTTAGCTATTTTACTATTTCCAACAAGTGCATATCAACAACCTACAATTCTAATGTTGCAAAAATGGTTTTCTTCTAATTTGCATCCTTGGAAATTTTGAAAAGGATGAAAAAAAAAGAGGGAAAAGGGTAGATGAAAGAATGAATTGAGTAAGTGAAAAACCGTAATAGCATAATAACCAATCAAAGCATAAACATCATGCATCATACACGAGTAAGCAAAAAAGGAAACTAGCAGTGTTTAATATTGACACGACTACAACAAAATCATATATGAAAGATTGTAGATCTAAAAGTCTACAAGATAACACTGCACAACTCATACCTGCAAGCAAAAGTACGAATGCCATTTTTCACCAGGTATTGACCTGATGTCCTTTCTATCTCCGGAGGAGAAACAAGGTAATGACTTGGAAGCTTTAATTCACCGTCATATTGAAGCATTCCAGCATATCTAATCTTTGGAAAACGAATACGATCAAATTTATCAAAGTTTTCATATTCAAGAGCTTTAGCCAGCATAACCATTCGGTCTGCTCGGAAGTTAAAGGTTACAACAGCATCACCATCCACTATAGGACCAACTGCTTCACCACTTTCATCAACTATGACAAATGGAGGCAAGTATTGATCATTAGCCTTTGGTTCCTTTCTGAGCTCTTTCACAGCTTCAACTGCATTTTGGAACTTGTGAGGTGCTTCACCAAGAACCTGAGCATACCAGCCACGTTTAACAACATCCCAATCATTCTGCAAAATGCATTGGAAGAATCATTAATGAATAACCAAATCTTTCGGGAAAAAAAAAAGAATCACTAGTAAAGGCAAAGGCAAAGGCAAATTGTTATCACTTTAGCAAGGAGTCTGTAGTACAAAATCACATCTCTTCTATGTAAAAAAAAATCACTAGTGTGTAGTGGTGAGGAACGCAAAGATTTAGCTGAAACAACCATAATAAAGAACAATTCATAGCCCAGCATAAAACAAGGAAAACAATAAAGCCGAATCAGCAAATAAACACAAACGGAAAAGAGCCGCCAAGGAATTTAACTGAAAAAGAATCTATAATTCAGCTAGTAAATTTTTAACTGTTATTGTCGTAGGTGTTTTTGATTAAGAACAAAAAGCCAATCAACGGAGGGAGAAAAAATCCAACCAAGTTTTTAGAAATAACGGTTCATTAATCAACATGCCCAAAAAGAAAAAGAAAGCAATACAAATAGGATTGAAGCAAGCATGCCTTATAAATGACCGCCAAAGAAAAGAAGCAATTTGAGGAGTACCTCATAACGATCCATGGTAACATACATCCGTCCACCACCAGATGCAATCTGCGCATCAATGCCTTTTTCACGCAAATTCGCAAGGTCATTTTCAAGAGTTTCCACAAAGCCTACACTGGATCCATCCAGGACATCTCGGCCATCAGTTAGAAAATGCACTCTGATTCTTTTAGCCCCATGCTCAGTCGCACCTTTCAGCAGCAACTGCACTCAAGAAAGGACAATTTATGGAATAATTTTTCAAGGGAAAGGTAAGGGTGGGTTCTTTTTCTCTTGACACTCTTTAATACCTGTAATTGATCAAGGCGAGAGTGTACACCTCCATCACTTAGCAATCCAATCAGATGCAAGGTACCTTTGTCAAAGGATTCTTTGATGTATTGAAAACCTTCTCCTTCATATATTTTTCCAGAGGCAAGTGCGAGATCCACAAGCTTAGCACTGAGGCTCAATAAACAAAATTAAATCGAATGCAAGTCTTTGATGGGAACATTTATATTGCATCAACAAATGAGATAACAATCAAGCAACATGCTCTTCTTAGTGCTTTGACTATCTAAGTTTTTTCCTTTCTTTGGAGTGTGTGTATCAGCGGTGAAACCAAAACTTTTTAATGTGTGGTACAGGGTTGCAAATGAATCGAGCATTCGATAAATTATTCGTGGCTTGACTTGATTACAACTCATTCATAATCACTTGTTTAAATAATCAAACTTTGAAAAATCTTTAAAAGACTCAATTGTTAAATAAACAAAGTTTGAACTATTTGTTCGACTTATTTATATTCATGAATAATATTGATTAAAACTCGTGAATAAAGCTTGAAGAAGCTTGATTAATATTTGATATAAAACTTGAGAACAAGCTCATTAAGAAATTCAATTAATGTTCAATATAGAGCTTGTGAACAATATCATTAAGACACTCAATTAAGTCTTGTTATAAAAAAATAATAAACAAATTAATTTAAATATTTTATATTTATTAAAAATAATATCATAATTAATCACTAATTAATAAAATTTAAAACTTATTAGAAATGATAATATCAATTAATTAGATTAAATTATAAATATATTTTAAATTGATGTTATTTATAAAGAGTCTATTAAGCAGATCATTTTTAACTCCAAAATGCTCGGTAGGTTGGCTCATTTATGAGCTCGATAGGTGTATTCATTAACAAGCATAATAAAGCTTTATAAAATTGTTCATGAATAGCTCGAAAAGGCTTGTTTAAAGATCTTTAAGTACAATACGAACCTAACACGAGTTGAACACAAATTAAACTTGAACATCTTCTATTTTAATCAAACCAAGCTTAACCAATAACATAAAGCTCAAATCGAGCTCAAACAAGTTGTTAATGAAAGTGCTCAAACATGAATAAGCATCTGCTAAGCTTAGTTTGATTCGTTTACAGCCCTAAAATTGTAGTTTTAAGAAAGCAATTGTTCAATTTTTTTTAAAAAAAGATCATATTTATAAAAACCACAATAGTTTAAAAAAAAGGTACTTTTCTACAATAGCTTCACAACCATCTTTACAAAATGTTGCATTCATCCAAAATAAATGAGTCTAACTTAACAATCAAGAACAACAAAAACTTTTGTAATGTAGAGAAACAAAGAGCAGATAAAAATCCATAGTTCTTTTAGACAAATCAAATGCATGAATATAAAATATAGAATATAAGAATAAGAGAGATAGGATGGTTCCTCCAAAAGAGGAGCAAAATAAAAGAAATGCAGGTAAGCAAAATTTTATGTTCTGTAGGTGTGAAGTTGACGTGTTTAGTTTATACAAATTTGGCTCTTCCCTTAACAAAACCCTATATAGGAAATGGAACCAAATTTATTATTCTAATTTAACTGCACAAGCACCAACTAACATAGTTTCGACTTTAAAAATAAATAAAAAAATCATGAAAATACATAATTTATGCGTATTTTAATATTAATATATTATATTATTATTTTTAATATTATTATATTAAAAATTATATATTTATTTTTTTAGGTTTATTGGTTTAGTGTTCAATATTATTTTGTGAGTAAAAAAGAACATTGTTATTTTTTTCCTTTCCCTTTAAAATTATAAATAATATACTTTATTGTGAATAGGGTTGTCAAAAAAGATCATCTTTCACAAATAGCTAGTGTTCAACTCGCTAAGAGGCTCATATTTGATTCGTTTGTTAAGTAAACAAGTTTATATTCAACACTCTTTTGAACTCATTTTCTTAACAAGCCGAATACAAAAAGAATGTTCTTCGATTTATTCGGCTAGTATTCTCTATCTCTCTCTTTATATATATATATATACTTTTCTAATAATCATTAATTGGTTGGTTGATAAGCAGAATGATTATATCATGTTCAGCTAGTTAACTATTTTCATTTGTTCGAAATTAGCTCATGTTCAACTCGAAGTCAAACGCACCAAACATGAGCATGATGTTCACAAACAATTTCAAATTTAAATCAATTGCAATAAAAACAAAAATTCTAATGAGAAAAATGCAAACCCAAGGCAAGCTTGGTCAAGCTCAGCCCATTTACAACCCTATTATGAATGTAATATGATGCATAAATAATATATTTTAATAATATTTGGGATAAGAATTATTTTTAAAATGACATTTTGATAAAGTGATACTATAACTTTAGTCAGTTGTTGAATGTGAAACACAAGAAATCAAAAAACACAATCTATCAAGAAAGCAACCACAGTATCACCAAAGCAAAGGTATCACTCTCAACCTGACTAAAAGAAGAGATAGATAAACTAGCTATGTTTGAAAGAAAATAAGGTAATATTAATTGAATTTCAAAATGTCATGCCTTTTAACACAAAATTTCATGAATTTTTATAAGATTTACTTCACAAATAATATACGAGACATAAGAATAAATTAATAATAAAAGACATAAAATTACATGAACAATAAAGAAAAAGAATTCATGTAGCCAGCCACACATAATGGATAAAGTCTTGATGTTGTTGTTATTGTTGTATCAATATTTTATAAAATTATATAATTATATGAGTTTCCACCATTTGATTCTTCAGTTTTCATCAAATCAAGTCATAATCAAAGGTAGATGATAATCTTGTATTTTCTTTCTCCTCGTTCATTGGTGAACACTCCTCTCCTCTCTCTTCCTTGAGACAGTAGATTCTCTCCCTTCTCCTTGCATATTGAGAAGTCACATTTGAATAAGCTATAATGTAACTTATATCATCTTTTAACCTCTATATATGATCAAAAGTCAAGAAAGACTAATATCATGGATTGTTATGTTATCATGCATGAATTTAATATAAATTACATGCAAAGGTGGTGATAATATGCATGCATAACTATGTTTAAAATTGCGCAATAAGATGCACTCCTTAATATAATTTTAAAAAAAAATGCTATGAGTCGTACGCCTCACCTTGGTCGAATGAGACATACACCTAAGTGGAGTCGTACGCCTCACCCTAGTCGAATGAGACATACACCTATTTTGTTATTTCTCTATACTTAAACTTAAAAAAAAAACAAAACAAGAACTGCATGCACCTCATCGACTCCCAGTCGCACACCGCACTCATAGCTTTCAGTAAAAAAGAAATATTCTTTGGATTCCAACAAATCAAAGCTTCAATAGCAAAATGTTCCTCACGGACCTTTAAACATTTTCCAACTATTAAATTAATTTAAGCTTAGTATTAAACTTTATGTAATTAATATAAGAATTATCAATATATGCATTCTTCTAAAATTTAATAAATAGTCTTAATGATTTATATTGATTATGGAAAAGTAAGATGGTTAAGATTGAAGAGGAAGTTGAAGGTTGGGAAAATGTTAACACAACTAAAGATGAAGCAAAAAAAGAAAGTAATTAACTAGAATGATAATTCTAAAGAAGACCTTCTAAGTGATGGAATGGGGGAGACTTTTGAATTTATAAATTATGATATTAGTGATTTTTTTTAATGATATTAGTGATTTAGACTACTTGTTAATGTTGAATTAGGAGTAGGAGAGACCTAGTTTTATGATCTTATTTTGACTTGTTAGGATCTTTCATGTTACTATCTTACATTTTTTTATTTTTTAATTAAGACTTACGCCTCATCTCAGGAATAAAAAATACCTCAATACTTGATTAAAAAATTTCAAATCTTAATGAATTAAATTCACTCTTTTCCACATTTCAACTTTAATATTTAGTACATAAAATGAAGAAAATTTTTGCATGAAAACATAAAATAGTCCAATCATGCAAATACTTGTGGGGGAGGCAGCCATTTATTTAGGCACATTAATGTCTTCCGTTCTTTATCAACTTCCATTGATTTGACATTCTTGTGTTGCATCATTTCTCCCTCTTAAAAGAACTCTCTAGTGAAGAGTTATAAGTTTTGTAGGATGCACAAATAAAGGGATATATTCAAATTGCACAAAAATAATATATTCTTCTATAAATAAGTTAGTTTGAAAATCTTTGTAAATATTAAATACCATTGAGAAGCATTTAGACCTTTGGTAGGAGATGAATAAGATGGTTTCAATGGACTAGTAAAAGTAATATTAATACTTTGTTTGATACAATATGTGAAAAATTGTAATTCTAGAGTAGAAAAAGTATAAAATTCAAGAAATTGTAGTTTTGGAGAAGCAACAACAAGGGAAGTTGCTTAAATAGGAGAGTTTTCTTTAGGAGAAATATTTTGATCACTATAAGATAACCAATGTGATTTCAAATTATTATGTTCACATTTCAATTGATTGTGACTTATTGTCAACAATGTAAATTTTTCAAAAATTAACATAAAACATAATGTACATAATTAAATGGACAACAATTATTAATATCCATAAGGATTAACAAAAGATAAAAAATTGCAACGCTGTCTGATGTAAAATGTGGTAACAAAATTAAGATATAAAATAAAATTTAAAAACATATTTAGATCAAAATCAAAGTCCACAAGGACTTGAGAAATAAAAAAAAAACAAAATAGAAATAAAGAGTCATGCAATTCAAAAATTAGGAGAAAAAACAAATCGATAACCAATGAAGAAACCAAGCAATCAAGAAAGAAAAAAAATGAAAAAAAAAAAATATGTGCATTTTGGTGTTGGGATTGCAGAAAGAGGAAGAGAGGAATTGTATGGTTGTTGACTACTCATGTGGAGGAGAAATTAAGATTAACAATCACATGAACAAAAATCCCATGCCGTTGTCGATATATGTTTCTGTGTGGAGGAGAAACATAAGTTGGTTGAGCATGAAGGAGAAGGCCCGGGCATCAATTGTGAGCCTTAGGTTTTCTCTTTAGTGAATTGGTTCTCCTACTCTCTTTTATTTCATCGATTAAACCAATCTACTCGAACACGAAGATGAATCTTGCATAGTTAGCCAAACTCAAAGATAAATTATATATTGTTAAGTGCTTCATGTGCTCAAGTGGCGCCAACACACACTTTGACTTCTCTAGGGCATGAGACACATACAATAATACTGAGTGGTCGACAAGAGAACCACCTTAGAGGAAATTCATTGAATGCAGTTAAAAAAATGCGTAGTTGGTATCCAAAGAGAGACATCCAACCCAAATTAAGTGACATGGTGGATGAGATCAATTCTTCCCTTGTACAATTCCAGATGATGGATCCTAAACTATGATGGAGGCTAGGCCTCATCAATCTCCCTTGAAAAGGCATTGACAGTGGCAAACTTCTCTTTTCTTCATAAAGACGAGAAAATCAACCCCTCACTATTAGGGTAACTGACTATAGTAGAGGTCCAGACTAGCTACAAAAATTCTCCTTACAATAAAATCAAAGGACCAAGCAAGCAACTCTACGCAAGCAATTTTGCTCAAGAAGTCGTTCTCAGGATTTCTCAAGGGCTCCTTGATGGGGACATCAGTTGGAAAGTCTACCGTCGACGTGGCCGTAGATCAACGGCCACGATTTATCAGATGTACTTTTGATTTTTTTTTATTGTCTACTTATTGATGTATCTTTTAATTTCAGCATTTTCCCTTTTTACCCTTGCTTGAGGAATCGAGTCATGTAGCCCCTTGAGGGTATTTGAGTCCTTTTGTTTTGAGTCATTGTAGAGGCTATTTAAAGCCATCATCTTGTTCTTTTGAGCTTAATGAATGATTATGAAGAATTTTTCTTGCATTCATGTTCTTGAAGCTTGTGTGAGAGCTTGAGAGAAAGCTTGAGAGCTTGGTGGAGCCTAGGAGAGGCCACCCGTCGTACCCAACAGTCACCACCGGTGGCTCTTGGTCCTCTTCCCTTCTCCTTCCTATCATCGTCGACCATCTCCACTGCCGACCTCATTCCATAACCCAATCTACCCAAGCCCGCCCCCCACCGTCAACCTAACCACCAACCCAATCCCTTTTCTACGTTGGCTCCTCCACCCGACCCACCCAAGCCAAACCCGCCGCCGGCCACCCTTGTTTGCCTCCATGAATGAGGAGTTAATGCCTCCTTAATGCTTACCTAAAGAGTTTAAATAATTGGGAAATTATTTTCATCATTTGAAATTCAAATTTTGAATTTCAAATAGTTTACTAAATTAGAGAGCTATTTAGGATAGTATTGACTCTCATTCATGACTATTTTAAAATTTAATTTGGGCGGAATTTTTCTCCTCCGAAATTAAAGAGACTAAAGAGGAAGGGAATTTAAATTGCTCCACAAAACCCTCTCTCCCTCCCTCTACATGCCGCCGGCCTCCCCCTTGCTTGGGCCCCCTCCATCAATGCTCAATTAAGGCCATCGATTGTAATTAATTTGAAATCCAAATTCAAATTAATTCCCTCCACTTTTACTCAAAATCTAAATTTATTTTTAGATTTCCTTCACCTTCTTTTAACCTAAGCTCTCCAAACCCTAGCCCTTCCCCACCTCCCTACACCGCCAGCCTCCTTCCTCACCTCCACCTCCCTCCTATTTCTTCTCTCTCGTGTTCTCTCCTCACATGATTATGATGCTTGACCGATCCGGAGTTTGATTCCAACTTCGCATACGACGGCCAAGGCATCGAGGATCTTCTCAAATTGTCGTTCGTCGACGTGAGCCCATGCATTGATGGATCCATAGAAAGTCCGTCGATCACGTGATATTTGACTTGACCAAGCCTTTGGAGGATCAACTATTGAAAGGTACGTGGTGAATCAAGACGTTTCTCCGAGAAGGTGATCTTCTTCCTTGACTTGTGTACTTTCATATTCTACTTACTTCATAGAGAGATTGCTCAAGCAAGAGATTGTGTCTACTTATCTCCATCCACTAGTAAGCGTAGGATTGTTACTTCTTTGCTTTTGGATTAGGCCAAGGTTATGTCGGAAACTATTCCGCATGCAACGCTTTGATTTTCCTAAATGTTTTGATTTCGCTTAGTCTCTTGCGTAGCTTAGCCTAAACGGAAGTGATCGCTTATTAGTTTTATTTTGTTGTTTTAGTTGCTAATAACGAAAATCCAAAATTGCTCTTTAACTATTTTGTGCAAGTTTCCTATTTCGCATTTAGTCCAGCATCACTCCTTGAATAATTCAAGTCAGCAAATTAACGTACAATCGCATACTCCTATTATTCATCTCTTTGATATTGTGCTTCTCGTAGTACTCCTCTTCTAATTACTAATATGCTCTGTATTCATCATACCTTTTAAGACGTTAAATCCAAAAATGTTTGTGAATCACATCTAACTAAACTAAGAATATTGAGTGAAAACGAAAATGATAGGAAGTATATACAAAAATTGTCCAAAACCTTGGCTGAAATTGAATTTCAGCAAAACCAGGAAAAAAACACAAGGAAACTAGGAAGAAGAACACATAAGAACACTTTTTATTGAAAGATACAATTGAATTTTCAATTGGAGAGGAAGATCTCGCTTCCCCAAATCCCTAGCCACCAGCTAAAGCCCTTCTCGACCTAAAGGAATCTAAATTCAGCCAAAACAAAGAATAAAACTCAACCCTAGGTAACAATCTACTTAAAGCATACAATAACAAAGCCCAATCCAAAAAAGCCCTCCCCAAATTCCTCTTCCTTCATATCCCACAATCCAAAACAACTTTCATCATGATTTTGAGTGAAACCATAGTTTTGGATAGACTAAGATCCCCTCTAACAACCACTTTCCTCCCCTCAGCCTTGAATTTCATCATTAGCACCTTTCAATCAATCTTGATCTTTCCCAACTTTTGCAGGCCATTTCATACCCAATATCACATCAGTGCTTCATAACTACAACAGAAGGAAATCCTCCCTTACCCGCACCACCTTTAGAGTTAGGAGTAGCCCACTATAGATGCCCCTACTCCTCTCCATCCTCCCTGTCTCCATCATTACCCCATAACATCTTGTGTTTTACTAGCTTTAGCCCCAACTCATCCACCACCTGACTGAAAATGAAATTGTGGGTTGGCCCACTATCCATAAGAACTTCCACAACCTTTACCTCTAGATTCCTCCTTACCTTCATGGTGTGGTTTGGAGTTAACCCCACCACCAAGTTCAATGAAACCTCAGCTACATCCACATGTAAATGATCCTCTTCCTCCACCATCTCTTCCCCTTCACCCTTCCCTTTAATGTCCTCGTCATCACAGACAATGAGAACATGAAGGGTTCGATTCTTACACTTATGCCTCAGTGCATATCTCTTATCACATCTGAAAAACAGACCATTCGCCCTCTTCTCCTGTAACTCCATCTCAATAAGCTTCTTGCAGTTTTCCAGAAGTCTTCCTTCTACATTCTTCTCTTTCGGAGTCTCCCTAAGAATATCCGGTATCGACTCCTTGGATGCCAAAAAGGTGATGGTCATCCTGTAGGAACCTCTTGAGCTACTACCTCTAGCCCCTCTCTCCAGGTGGCTTCTGATCCTCCACTAACTGAGCTAGCTCCATAGCCTCTCACAAATTAGAGAGAAAGATCCCTCTCTCTCAAATCCCTAGTCATCCCTGGTCAAATCCCAAGAAGAATTTTAGAATAAATAGTGCTTAGATTTCAATAAAATAAGCTTGAGTTCAAAAATTAGTTTAATTTGAGCTCAACCCTTGAACCTCTATTTATGCATTTGGATTGAAGTTTGAGCGTTACAAATTGACTACATACCTCCATACAAAATATAAAATAAAATACACCATTTGTGTAACCAAATCAAAACATGAGGAGAGAAAAAAAAAGAAGAATTTTAGAATAAATAGTGCTTAGATTTCAATAAAATAAGCTTTAGTTCAAAAATTAGTATACTCTAAGCTCAACCCTTGAACATCTATTTATGCATTTGGATTGAAGTTTAAGCGTTACAAATTGACTACATACATAGCCATACAAAAAATAAAAGAAAATAAATTATTTGTGTAGCCTAATCAAAAAGTCCAACTTGAAGTAGTTGTCTACTGAGTAGTCACGTAGTTGAGTCACCGATCAATAATTAGCATTAAGAAATTGCCCCTCGAATAGTCGTTAGGGCCGAGCTAGGCTGATTGTTAGGCTTTCCTAACTAACTGAGATGAGTTATTTTATCATGGTTTCTTGCTTAAGATGAATTCAATGGTAAGCCAACGAGTATAAGACCGAGTTGATATTGGCTTGAATTAGCATGAAGTGAGTTATTTGAACCAAATTTTTTGGATATTAGGATGTACACCTACAACATATTCAACCAAAATCCTTTTAAAATTGCTGAACCGAGTTCATAAGATTAAAGATAGAAAACTGCATTATGAATTAAACTACTTTTTTTTGGCATAAACCACTCATATTCAAATTGACAGCTACCATTCAAAAGGAACGATTTGAATTTCTTTCTCCAGCACATCTCTTTTACAAAATCAGCATGACAATCTTGAGCAAATATTTGTAAGAAAAACAATGCAAATTGATTTCTTCCAACTTCGATGAAAATAATGAGTCAGCTTCAATGTACAAGCTTTAATTTTCAGAAACTGAAAAAAACTTATTTTTTTTTGGAAACACTATTTTTCCAATCAGCATAAAGAAGACATGCACTGATCAAAAGTTCAGAAAAAAAAATAGACAATTGATCTGAAGTAATCATGATTTTCATATTACCCTTGTGCAAAGATACGTCCTGCCCCAAGTGCATTGTGTCCAACTTCACTGTTGCCCATGTCATCTTCAGTTGGAAGCCCCACAGCAGTCCCATGAGCCCTCACCAAGCGCCATTTTTCAGGAGCACCCTTCAAATATGAAAGAGATTGTTATTTTAATACCTTTCATCACATAAAGGTAGATGTTGTACAAGCTTTTCTAGTATCAAGATTGGATTCAGTTTATATTGCATAAGGTTACGATACATCATGATTAGTAAAACCCCAGAAAGTAACCATCCAAATGCATTAATTCCATTAAATATATTCACACAATATAGTTAGATAAGTGGGGATAACTTTATGAGAAAGAGTACTGCTTTTCTCTTGTTTCTGCGAGCATAATGAAAATCAGAAATGCAGAAAACATCCATATGAAAGCAACTAGGGATGCCTATACTTGGATTGAATCTCATCTTAATTTCCTTTTCACTTACAAACATAACCACTAAAAATGGCAGAGAACACCTCTAATAAGCAAAGTTCACAATTATTACAAAAAAGTTTTCCTAATTGAAAAAAATATATATAGTTACGTGGACTCCGTAGCATTCACTCCTATTATGTGACTTCCAGTTCCCTGCTGCAACAACCCATAGTTCCACGCTAAAAAAACTGCTTGAACTGCGTTATTTTCACATGCAATGTTAGGAAATAGCTTTTAGGAGAAATCTCATATAAGGATATCCATTTATTGTTTGATTTGATTACCTAGTTTTTAATGTGCAATGTCTTGAATGAATATTTGATGAAGATTACTTGAACCTAGGGTTCATAGAGCACCCATGTGATGGATTGGTAAAGACTAGGATCATATTTGACATGCAAAAGCATGTGTGATCTACTACTTAAATGTGATGATTACTCATCTGAGGGATGAACATACTTACCTTATTAGGAAGATTTTCTTGGAGCATGTTACAGGCTTTATGTATTTGTAAATAGATATATTACAAATCATGCTTAATTAATTCTTAGCAATTCTTGTGCTCATATTGATATTGCATATAATGTATAGTTAGGTTTTTCATGATAATTAATGCATGATTTTGAAATGACCCATATGATGGCATAATTTTTTTTTACAAACAGATCAAATATATTGATATAAAGTAAATTTTATTGACACTATTTACAAACTCTTTGTTATGGCACCTTACTCATGACATAATATTGTATAAGTTATGCTTGTTTGCTTGTTGGATGTAATTGTCAGTAGTACCATTCTAGTAATAATATGAATTAGTTAGGCGGATGGCCTTATAAAGTGATGACACTTCTAGGATCAACAAATTCCATCAAGTTGGTGAAAAATGTTCCTTTAATTTCAGAGTACCATGAAAAACTGACTTTATAATATACGGAGTACTCAATTACTCTACTGAGCCATTTCTTTGAATATATAAAAATATGATATGGATACTTGTTGATGATTTAGCATTTGTATGTGTTTACTATTATCATTCTTTATATGATTCATTATGAAGCCTACTATATAATAATCATTATTTGCCATTCTAATAATTCTTATGTATAGGCTATTATAATTTGATGCAATGATTATAAGTATTTAGATCATATCTTGTTTATTATGCCACTCTATTAATCATATTACATGCCTTACATTATACTTCTAAGTGAGTATGTTTCATAAATTTAATTTGTTTCTTGCAAACTCACACCAAGTGAATTTTATGATTTACAAGATTTTTTTTCAATTAATTTTTGGTATATACTTAACTTGGATGATATTGGATTCAGCATTTTTATCATATTTTTGGGGGATATTGATTATTATAAACATTTTATGATTATTTGATTAATTATACATTTATCACCTCACATCATCCTGTCAAGGTACTACTGAAATCTTCGAGGCCCAATGGGCAGATTGTGACACCTGTTGAGTTTAGCTTCCTTGTCACTATCCTTTTATGGATTTCTATTGTTCTAGCTTCCTTGTGATTCCTCTATTACAGGATTTTATGGATTTGGTTCCCTCTGATTCGCCCTGTGGTATTATGCATTCTTAGGAACTTGACAATTACATTAAGCGAGCCCATATGGTTTGCTTAATTTGGATAGAGTTGTTGAATACTCCTTTTTTTTAATTGCAACTTAATGGATGTTTTATGATTAATAATATGGGGGTATAAGGCAAGTAAGAAAAGATGCTAATTGATTTCTAATTTCATTGAATATATTTGTAGTTGGATGCAATTTGTTCAAGTATTCTCATGGAGAAATTGGAGATTCAATAATTTTGAAATAAATTATCTCCAAATATTAATATGAGGCCTAATTCTTCTATTTGATTATCTCTTATTTTTTACTCTTATCTTCTAATTTCTATTAATCAATTTACTTGTGATTGAATTTTGTCAATTTTAATAAAATGTAATTTTCCACCATGGCATGATTTTTTTTTCCAATTAAGCTTATGCATTTCATGTTTATGAATCTCTTTCTAAAAGATTGCTATTCAATTATCATATACTTTAAACTCTTCAAATTCTTGGCATTCTCAATTATCATATACAAGCTGTGTATTAACTCTGTATTTATTATGTATCAGCTATGCATTAACTATGTACAAACTGTATATTTGATTGTGCACAAGCTGTGTACTAAATGTATAGTGATTGTGTACAAGCTGTGTACTGACTTTGTATTGACTATGTACAATGTATATAATCAATAATTATACAAACTGTGTATTAACTCTGTATTTACTATGTACCAATAGTGTATTGATTACGTACGACTTGTACAAGCTATGTACTAACAGTGTATTGATATTGTACAAGCTGTGTTTTTTATTGTGTATTGGTTATGTGTAAGTTGTGTATTGACTTTATATTGATGTGTGATAGCTTGTACACACAGTGTACATGCTATGTACATATTGTGTATTGACTTTGTACAAGCTGTGTACTGACTATGATTGACTGTCTATAAGTTGTGTACTAACTATATATTGACTACGTACAAGTTGTGTATTGACTCTGCTTTTACTGTGTACCAACTGTGTATTGACTGTGTACAAGCTTTATACAAACTGGGTATTGATATTATATATACTGTGTTTTTTATTGTATATTGAATGTATATAAGCTGTGTTTTTTATTGTATAATGAATGTATACAAGCTGTGTATTGACTTTGCATTGATGTGTGATAGCTTCTACACACATTGTATAAGCTGTGTTGTATTGATTGTGTACAATTTGTGTATTACCTGTGTACATGATTTGTATTTGACTGTGTACAAGCTGTACACACCTTGTATAAACTATGTAGAGATTGTGTATTGATTGTGTACTAGCTGTGTACTGATTGTGTATTAACTGAGTATAAGCTTTGTATTAATTGTGTATTAACTGTGTACAAGTTGTTTACATCTTTTACAAATTGTGTACTTATTGTGTATTGACTGTGTACAAGCTGTATACTGACTGTGTATTGATCGTATTTTTACGATGCATAAACTGTTTATAAACTCTATATTTATTATGTATAATATGTGTATTGACTGTTTATTTACAAGTTGTATATTGACTGTGTATCAGAGTATGTACCAGTGTGAGGAGGCATATAAGATGTATTGCATGCATGCAAATAATGCTAATTTTAGTATTAGCAAGAAACATCACAAGTACTGGCCAAATTCTATAAAAATAAGATGTGAGGACTTTGTCTATTTTAAAGTTGTTTTCAAGAAGGGCCATGCTTTGAATTTACAAATGAAATATCGAAGATCAGATAACAAAATTCTAGAGTCAGTCAAGATAGAAAGATCATGTAGCATTATAGTAGGTTATCTAAATTTCATATATCTTGAAAAGCTTTTTCCCAATTTATTTATTAATAAAAAATTTAAATTTGTTCAATTGTGAAACTTACCAATTAGCTAAATATATCAGATCTTACCCATTTATTTCTTACCAACCTTCTAAACCCTTTGCCTTGATCCATAATGATATTTGGGGACCCTGAATGGTTAAAAATATATGTGGAGCAAGGTGATTTGTGATATCTATTGATGATCATACTAGACTCTCTTAAGTTTATTTAATGAAGGAAAAATCTAAAGTTGAAAGGATATTCAAATTATTTCAACTGATGATTCAAAATCAGTTTGATACAAAAATTCAAATCTTAAAATTAGATAATGGGAGAGTACTTCCATTCTATCATGAGAAAATACCTATTAAGCCAAAAGGATAATCCAAGTGAATTTATATGCGTATACACCTCAACAAAATGGGGAAGCTAAGAGGAAAAATAGTCAACGCCTACAAATTGTCAAATATATTATGATATTCACAAAAGTTCCAAAATATCTATGGGGGAAAACCATTCTTAATACTGCATACCTAATAAATAGGTTACATACTCAGGTACTAAAATTTGAAACACCTAGACAAACTCTAATCAGAGCCTATCCTCCTGCTCGGTTCATATCATCAAACCTTCTAGCTAAAGTGTTTGGGAGCTCTACCTTTGTTCATATCTATCCACAAGATAGAAGAAAATTTGCCCTAAGATCAAAAAAATACATCTTTATTGGTTATTCCCCATCAAACAGAGGTTACAAATGTTTCAGTCCTATTTCTAAGAAAGTATTTGAAACCATAGATGTCAGCTTTGAAAACAACCCATACTTCACTAGTTTTGAAATTCAGGGGGAGAGTGAAGGAGAATTTTAAACTTATGAGTGGAATTCCTTATTATACAACCAAATAGAGTCCAGTCAAAATCAACAAATATAACAAGAAATCAAAACCACAAGTATTTCCCAAGGTATATCTCCTATGTCTCAAACTCCACCATCAGACCTATTCCTCCACCCATAAGTCCTAATCAATCACTTCAAAGAGCAGCAATTAAGAAACAACAATATGTATACCCAAGAAAAAGAAAAAAAATTTAGTATATGCCAGGAAGTGAGACACATCTTGCACCTGTCAACTATCTTTCAATTGATCCAACAATTATAAAAATTCATACAAAGGACAAAAATGAGTAAGTTCAAAGAGAGATAAAGTCATCAACTGATCAAAAGAATCATGCACCAAGCATCCAATCAAA